TACCTTCTTCTCATCTAGCAGCATCATCACTTTGAAGAGAAGGACGTCGTTGATCACAACCTCTTCATTCTTGTACAGGATTTGAAATGTTTTGCTGCAGATAACATCATCTTGGACTAAAGCAGGAAATGCCAGATCAGAGCCTAAACAAAAAGAGTTATATGATTAAGTGTGTGTGAACTGAGCAAAGATTGCCAAAATATCTGCATCAGAACTTTCTTGTATAATCTTTAGAAGGAGAGATGTGTTACACATGGCTGACAAATAAATAAAGTGGTAATGGCAATGATAGAGGTTAGGAGCGTTTGGATTCTAATGTTTTCGAATGGAGGTTTTATTAACAGTATGTCCAATGGTCTATTTGTATGAAACTTGGGGATTATCCATGGCAAAGACCGAACATGATAAGATGGTGTGTACAAAAGAAACAGAATGCTTTTTGGAAATATCCGTAAAAGCTTAACATCAACAAACTTAGTCATGTTATGTAATGACTGGTTCAGCATCTAAGAAGATGCAAATAGAAGGACTTTGAGATAATGGGGAAATGTTTGACATTTTTATCTGAGAGCAGGAAATATCACACAAAGTAAATCTTATTAGGTCTGTAATGAAGTTGAGAGTACAAAGTCAGAAAACAAGGAAATAAGAACATTTAAGCACTGAAATTAAAAACTCTCATGATGATCCTCTTTGAATTGAGTGCTTTGTTTGAAAGGAACAGAGCAGGTGCTGGTCTCTAAATAAGGGGATGTGGCATATACACAAAGCTTTAGATAAATACCAAGAACAAGGACTGGCATGTGAGATAAGCTTGTGTTCTGCAAGCTCCCTGCAAAAAAAACACAATCTGCAATAACAATAATTATTCTCCTACAGTTTTCACTGCTGCACATCTATGAAACCACAATAGCAGGTGTGCTTCAGATGCCCAAAGTCTGTGCACCCAAGACCTACCATTTTGCTCTTTGCATTGTGCTTGTAAGCATAAAACACCGCTGCAAGTGTGGTGAAGACAAAAAAACTATATTGTAACCATTGTATCTGATTGTACACAAAAAAGAATTTACCTCCCGGGTGAAGCAGACTGGTCTCAACTTTGTGTGGGACCCGGGGTGGCACCTTCAGGTTGGCACGAATCTGGTAGAACCTGAAAATACACACAACTTGTTTTAAAATGAATAGTGACATTTATACAGAACTATTAGTTTGGTTCAAAGCATCTTTAGAAGGTATGTAAAAGAGGAACAAACCACACTGGTTAGCTACAAGTGGCTCTACTTGTAAAATGACACGACACTTTTCATGAATGAATAATGAGCACTTTCTTTTGCAGTCACTCATGTAGTAAACCTGAGCTCTTACGGCACTGGTGAGCTGGGAGAATAGAGAAGGAGTTTTATCTCAGCACAGGAGAGTATCATCATTGTGATGTAAAAACAAAGAGCTCACATAAATATATATAGTATACTCAAGCACTGTTTAGCATTCCCTGCTGTCTGTACAAAGAGCATTTTGATCCCCCTGAAGGTCTTAAACAGATCATCCAACCAGCTTGTTCAACTCCCCTCAAAACATAGTATCATCTTAATTAATCGTTTCTCTATGTATGTTTGGAAAACACAAGCCAAAAAAAGACAACGAGACGATGAGAAGATACTCACCCTCTTTGGAACAGGTCAACATTGTAGAACTTGTGGAGCTCCACAGAGAACTCCACTGTAGCCTGGACTTCAGTCATCTTGGTCTCTAAAGGCAAAGGCGCCTTACATCATCTGGGATACAGCTGCTGTAGGCCTGCAAGCAAAAGTAAACAAACTAGTTTAGCACTACAACATTGTAAAAGGTCAATATGGAAGAGAAAAACACCAGCAGTAGTCATACAGCAGGAAAAACCAAGACTTGGGTGATGGTCAGTTTTTCAGGGGCTTACATTTGGCATAGGATGCATCCTGTGTCCTCTGGGCCTAATTTGTTAACAGCCCAGATAATTATAGCACTGGTATGACAGGGTAGAGGAAAATACTATGAATAACACTACAAAAAATAGGCCTGAAATATAATATCACCATTTTGCTATGTCAGAAATAAACACAGACACAGGCTATTTATTGAGACCCAATTTAAGAACAGGCCATATTGTCGTTTTGGCTGCAGAAGGGGCCAAAAATAAATAAATAAATCATACAAACGCTCCCTAAATTAGTCATGTATGAAATGAATAAATCATCCACTGGGAGACAACATTTCACTGCATTCAGGCCAGTGAAAATGAGACCAACAAAAGGCCAACATGAATGTGACCTGGTTCACAACGATGCCTGATACAGAGCAAATAGTGCCACGTAATGTTAATAAACAAATATGCCTGTCTTAGTACAAGTGATCTTTAAAGCAGTCCGTCGTGGTTTCACTTGGGTTTTAATACCATTCACTAAGACCTTTAAATAACCAATTCATAATCATTTTACAACAAGTGACAAAAATTGTAAGACTGACAGATATGACCCTCAAGTGACAGATGACAATTTGTACCAACCTGGATTATTCATTAATCATTAACAAATGAGACCTCTTTTTAACTTTATAAAGGTCAATAATGATAGCAATGAGAGGAAAATAAATTACTTATGCATGATTTATCTAATAATCAGACAATGTCACAGTTCTCACGAAGAGTTAAGTACATATTTAACGCAAACAACTAAGCGTTGAGTTACAGGATCACAGATCAGGTTCACTCTTCAGCCAAAAGCTTTGTCACTGTTTGTATTGGTTACTCACAGGGAGGGTATGAAAGGTGAAGTAAGGCGTCACTGGTTGAAATGCAGACATGTACTGTCAACAAAACCCAGACCTGTCAGTAAGAGCTGGCAGAGGACTGTGATCCACTGACATGTTGGTTTGAGATTCACTTTACTATCAACACAAAGCTCGGATTATTTAAAAGCCACAACCATTAAAGACATATTTCCCTAACCACACTCACAGCTGCTGATAAGGAAATGTAGCTGGCAGTTCACACCATCAGATAAACTAAAATCAACACATCTGCTCTTATTTAAAAATAATAATATATCTGAGGCCTTAGCAGCCACCAGCTGGGATAGTGTATGTCAAAACACTGGAAACTCAAGCCTGAAGCAAAAACCAGCACAGACACAGATGTTCAGGTTGTAAGTTGTCTCCACAGATTCGATGCTGCTCCCAGTGAGTGAGGTGAGAAGGCTCCGGAGCTGGTGGGCACAATCTCTGCAGAGCTCTCGTTACGGTTACAGGTGGGAAGCGACCAAAACAATACTTGAGCGAGGGCCCGCTAAATGTGAGGAGCGACCCGGAGGAGACGAACCAACACGCACTCGAACGGACCATCGAAAAGAAAAGTGTCACTTGATAGCCAGTTAGCTAACGGCAACGCTTAGCATAACGTTAGCCACCCACCGTTCAGTTCTCCCCGGGTCTGTGCCATTAGCCACATTAGCCGAGCTAACGCCACTCACCATTGCGCTGGCAAGCTAACGTTAGCCAGCTAACCAACGTTAGCTCCAATTTCGGTCCCGTCGTCGTCCTCTCGCGGTGAAGTGCGGACACAAACACAGTTCTCCCCCGGCTGCCTCGCTCCCTAGTCCCACTAAGGTTACGAGTGAGACGCCCTCAAAGCGGTCCGGCCATGCTCTCCCCCCCGGGCTGTGCTGTCACTTAGCTGCAGAGCTAACTGGACTCAGACCGAGGAGCTGACAGCAGGAGCTGCTCCAGCTGCGCGCTCACGAACATTTCACTGCGCGTTACTGCACATACCAGAGACGCAGCTGACGCCTCAAGCAAGAATAACTGCCTGCAAACGAGACACTGAAGAATAGGATACACAACAATGATGATCATTATAATAATAGTGAAAATAATAAAGATAATGTTATTATCATTATGGTTATTGTTGTTATTATATTATTGTTATTTCATTATTATTACTCTTTTATTATGATAGCAACAACGTCAATAATGATTATAATTCTTCATTATCACCATCATTATTTAACATTTCTGGACTTGGATTATACAGTAAGTCTGACTTCTTTATTATATCATACATTATAATTTGTATGTATTCAAAACTTGTGGCACATTGCATGTCGCCTGTTTTGAGCAGGTTAAATCGAGCAGCGATGAGGGATGATCACTACTCTCTAAGTATAACCGGGTAAGTCCTTGTAGATTTGTGTCTCTGATATGCTTCTCTGTACAATCAGTTCTTCTCTGTGCCTATGCCTGAGTTCCCAGGCCTGTTGTGAACAGGCTTAACACCACCTGCCAACCTTGAGGGCTGTAGTGCTTTTCTCTGCAGCCCGAGAAGTGAGTTTAGGATGTAATTAGTCCACACTAACATATTGGTGCAATCAATTTATAATTTGTAACAAGAGATCAATAGCAGGGATGGGAAGGAAAGGGCAATAGGTCTTAAATTCAACGTGCTGAGCAAACATATCCACTGTGACGACATCATGACAGCTGTGTTTTCTTACCACACTGCATTTCTATGAATTCTGTATGTCATCGGAAACACTAAAAAATACCCAGATTTCAGCAATTGCCTCTTAAATAAAGAATGAGATGTTTTTTTCAGCCTCCAGCCAAACACATCGAGTGCAACCACAACTGCACCACACTCAGCTTCTCTTGAATTTCAGTTTGACTGCTCTGGAAACAATGCTGTCTAAATACCATGCAACCATAGAGATCTCAGAAAATGTACATCCCAGGGTCAGGGGGCAAATAAAGCCACCACAGGGTAACATTGTCACTCTCAAAGAGAGTTGCAAATGAGATATGGCTCTTATTGTGTGCTTGAACATTAAATCCAAGGTGGGTCCAGGAGAGCTCCAGTGGAATGCTGAGTTGACACTGTGGATTCTGTTGAGTCACTCCCCCAAATAAATGACAACAGTGAGGCCTATAAGAGACCCCCACAGTGAGACCTGGAGCGTTTCACTCCTGCTACTTGAGCAGCTGTACACCATCTCTCCTGGAAGACAATCTGAAGAAACATCCAGCTGCAGGTGTTTTTTTTATCATTTCCAGATCAAGCTATGAAATGGGTGGAGTCAAAAGGTAAACTGGCTTAATTTACAAGTACCATGCAAATAATTACACTCACTCAGTTGCAAATCGATATTAACAATTTCCGATTGCATTGCAGAAACTTCCTCCTGTACTCATTGTGCTGCTGCTATGTGATCCCACAGTGTCTCTGCACAGGACTTCATTCTCAGAGTAAGTTGTGTGCTGCAGTGAGATAAGGATAACAAAATAATGTGAACATCTAATTAAAAAAAAAAACACCTCATTGTTGATGTAAAATATTATCAGTGCAGCGCATTGCTGCAAAGGTGAGAACTTGCATGCAAATGATCAGTGTCAACACTAGAGGCTATATGTTAATTATAGCCCTGATGGTTCATTGTTACCACTGCTCCTCTTTGCTGTGCTGTGGCTTATGTTCTCCCTGAAATATTGAATAATAGGGCCTTTTTTTCCCCTCATACATATATGATGAGCTCTGTGTAGCTTCATTAGCTGAACCTTTTCGATATCTGACAAAATCTGCTAATTGGTTTTCATACATTGGCTTTAAGAGATTTTTGTTTTCAGCCTGTACACACTGCTACCATTAGATTTATTATGACATTCCTGTGTGAGCTAGTGTAGCATCACATTGTTGTGCAGGGGTCTAGCTGTGAGCCTGTATATTGATTCAATTTTGAGCTGAAAGGTAAAATGCATGGAAAAAATACAATGCAGGCAAAACTTCACAATATGATCTGACAGTTTGAGCCCTTGCTCCCTACATTTCAACAGTATTAATATGTATAACTCAGGTGTGCATGTAAATTGGAGATGTTAAAGAGTCTCTTGTCCAGGAACCTTTCATTCAAACTTGATAAAGACCTCTAACGTCCTGTCCAGATGTGCAAGAACGGGCCAATCTAGAGCTCAAGTGTTAAAGAGACAACCACAAACAGTGAGGGATGGCCTAATATTTATTCAAGGCAGTGGTGCAGCTCTCCAAACACTGAGCTTTTATTCCCTCCCCACAACACACACACACACACACACACACACACACACACACACACACACACACACACACACTTGGACTACTAACGAGCTGTTCTGTGTTCCCATCTTGCAGCTGTGCGGTTTTCATCTCAAGTCAGTAGACATTTGGAGCAGCAGGCCATGTGCCCTCAGATAAGCGTCGGGGAGGATCGTTTCCCAGGTGGATTCAAAAAAACTGAGCCTAGTTTGTCTTTGTAGTATCTAAATATTTACCCTGCATGAAACTGCATATTGCTATAGCCTTTTTAAAATGTATAATACAGTTGCTGTATGTTTGAAGAAAGTTATTGTCTTCCCTATATGTGTGTGAATTTAAGGAAGATTGTTTTTAATGACTTGTGTTGCCATCATCAAAACAGAGTGAAACTTAAGCAAAAGACATAATTTTTAATTTTTTTTTCCTATTATTATATATGTTATAAACCATTAAATCTATATAGTCTTAGCATGTCTACATACATGACTAATTTTATTCCATTAAATGTGGAATTTGGGAGAGATGTTGACAGTAGTTTGAAGAATAGAACATAATATTAATTTTGACACCAATACATAGTAAAAAGTGTGAAACTGATAATATTGCAGTGGTTTCTCATTTTTTCCAGAGCCGTATAGAAACAACTTAGCTAGTGCTATGGTCTCATTAAGTGCTGGTAAATGAACATTCACTAAAAGGCTAATGAGACATGTCAAAAGACAAACATTCACAAGAGGCTAATAGTGAATGCAATTGCTCTAAAGTAATCTCATTGCCAGGTGAACTGTACTATATATTGTATGGTGCGATAGAGAGCTGATTTAGCCATAATTTCATGAAATTACCTTTAACTCATGGATAATGATCAACTCAAGTTTGTGAGGTACAATGTTGCAACACCTCTGATCTGACTGTTTATTTAACCTCTCTTCTGTTCCCTGTAACCTAAGGATTTTACATTATGTCTCAGTTCCACATTGCTGAGCTGGCGAGAAGAGGCACTGTTAAAAAGGTTCCTGGATCATCTCCTCAGCATGTTGCTTATCAAATAGGCCCAGCATTCAACTTCAGAATCAACACGAGGTAAGCAGCATTTAGTATTATGTGTGTAGCCTGACCCCTAGTGGTTGTCCTAGTATAACCCCATTTACCCTGTCCATGGTCCTGAAGATCAGAGAATGATTTTTACAAGTGGCAACATATTATTTTCTGTAAATCAATTTATGAACTAAATAACACAAATATGGCATGTTATATGTTGATATGTATGATTTCACTATCATAAACAGAATAAGAATATCTATATCACCATGTGCTATTATAGGTCTACATGATGGGCTACAATTAATCTTGAATACTCTTTATTAATCCTTATTCTAATTATATTTTCTGTATTGGGGATGTTAATTGGATGTTTGATGTGTTGCAGATCAGCTTATCCTCTCGGACTGCCGGAGGAGTTTGCGTTCGTGGCTGTGCTGCGAATGAGTGCCAGCACCATAAGTAAAAACTGGAATATCTGGCAGATGCAGGATGCGAATGGTAGCGAGCAGCTGTCTGTTAGACTCAATGGGGAGTCTAAGACTGTGGAGTTTACCTTCACAGCGCTGGACACAGGGAGGCAGACTATTGTCTTTGGGCCCCTGGCTTCTCTCTTCAATGAGCAGTGGCACAGAGTGCTGCTGGATGTCAGCAGAGGCTCTATCACCCTCTACGTGGACTGTGTCATGATCGGGTCTCAGAGCATCCCAACCCTACAAAAAGTCAGTCTGGATGGGTTCACGTTGATAGGAAAACTCAAGGACAACCCTGTGATGGCAATTCCGGTACGTTCATAATAGAACTGAGTGCTGATGTTGAAACTAAAGCAATCGTCTGATTAACCATGAACTGTAGGTGGATATGAAATTTGGCACTGGACACAATGTGATTTCAAACTACACTTTCAAGAGAGGGAAACAAATCTGTATAATGCATCTTTTATTCCCTTACCACAGTAGCTTTACGTCTTCGCACAATGAAAGTACAAGCTTTTGAAGTGGTGTTTCATCAGAAAACTTTGAGTTATTGAACCTTCAGAAATAAGCCAATTTTGATGTAATCTGTAATATGTACGTTTATTTAAAGAGCTGCATAGTCATGGTGACAAACTGGTTGCTTTCTATCCCCAGAAGGTAAACTCTTTTTTAATCTTGTTCATAAAAACTAAGACACAAGCAAACATATCATTTATCTTCTACCTCACTAATTTATTTAAGACAGTCAGAGCACAGCTGTTCTTTGTTTCGAGGCACTATACCAACAGCCCTACAGACCTTCTGTCACACAAGCTGTGCACAGTGCAGTGAGTTGTTTGGAGACTTATTGTTACGGCTCTGTGTGAACACCACAGACAAGAACTCTAGACTCTAAATCATATTTTACATTTGTAGTTTTAACAGTTTCAGTCTTAACCCTCCACTGTAAACATAATTAAAATAATGAGACACATCAGGAAATATCCCAAAAGTCAAGAGTGGGGAACTCTACGTTTCCTTTGGAGAATCCTAGACATGCAGAAACTTGGGAATTTCTCACCATCCTGTTTGGCCTGTGTGTGACAACAACCTCCAGAAAATCGTCTGTCTCTCCATTCAAGCTTCTGCAGCATCTGCCACAACACGCAGCTCATGTTTTGGCACATGTCCCTTAGTTGTGCAACACATATTTGGTTACAACTCCTCTGACAACAAAACCTAACCTTTTTGGCGCATTTTAATATTTGGATCATGAGTTCCACATTGTAACTAATTTACAGATACTCTCTGCTTCCTGCTTTTCTCATGTGCTGCAAAAACGCGAACTGATGCAAAAAATTGTGCTTTGCTGATGCTTTATGCTCCATTGTGTATTTATCAAGTTTGAACTTCAGTCAATGCTGATTCACTGCGATGTGACGCGAGCCAGGACAGAAGCTTGTTACGACCTCCCAGCCAGGACATGGGTAAGAATGAAAACATAACGAGCTATGATCTGACTAGTTGGAAGTTAAATATCGGTAACTAAACCCAAACTAGTGTTTGTTTAGTCTAGGAGCCAGTTATCGTAGTTATTGGTGAGGGAAATAAAACTGTGCGTAACTGTGCGTAACAGCAATGCGCAAAAACCCATCCTCCTGCTCCCCTTGTCTCCTTAAAATCTACCTCACCAGTGACTTTCTTTATGATAAGACTTTAAATTTTAAAAGCATTTATTTTGTCTGAATCTGAAATTAAATAACCCGCTGACCCTGCCCATTGGTGGTGTCTGCGGTGTGGCCCCTCCCCTCCTTGCCCCCTCTCCAAACCCTCCAATCGCTTCCTGTAACCAGTCATCGCATGAATAAACATGAGCTGCTGATGGCTGTGGGGCCGTGGACGGTCTAGATAGCAGAGGGGGGACTCAGTTGGGTTGTTTTGTCGGGGGCTCCTTCAGCCCAACAATTCCCAGTGAAAGGACTACAGCTTTTCTTCCTTTCCTGCCCTGCAACGGGGAGATCATGGCTCGGGCCCCCAGCGTCAGAGGGCCACTGCTGGTGCTGCTCCTGCAGCTTGTCCTTATTTGCTCCGCTCAAGTAAGACTGATGTCTCTCTCTGTCTCTCTCTTTCTTTTGTGTGTTCTGTGTGTTTCTCTTTGTAGACTGATGTGACAGAGGTGCAGGTGAGTGTTCTCCAACTGGAGTGCTGCTGGAGTTGTTCTATCCAGCCTGACCATGTTACTGTGCATTTGTCCAACAAAGAAAAGTATGATGCCTTTTTGCACCTTTACTTTTGCAAAGTGCTGTCTGAGCTGACACATTTCTGCAGGAAGAAATCATTTCGATTGGCTTAAAGTTATTTCAGTGCATCCAAGAGACAGTCTTCATTTCTAGTGTAGCATCTGCTCTCTTCTTTTATAATGTCTGTGCAGCAGTTTGTCAAAGTAAGAAATGACAAAAAACATTAGCTAAGAAATCGATGCTTGTATTTTTATTCCTATATTATGATTATTTTACTCAGAGGAACGACGGACCTGCTGGCCCTCCTGGACCTGCAGGTGTCCCAGGAATTGATGGCATCGATGTAAGTGCTCTCAGTTCATTGTTCTATGATGCACCAAATACTTTGCCACTCTGGCTCCTCTGTAAGCCTTGAATCTCTTTTGTTGTAGGGGGAGAGAGGACCAGATGGCGAGGATGGCCTCCCTGTAATTATAACACATAAAACAATACAAATGATGTATTGCATTGTTTTTTACTGTAGATCTTTGCCCTGAGAGATGTGTGCATGTGGAATGTTTGTTTTTTTAGGGCCCTGATGGTGATGCAGGTAAACCTGGCTCCTCAGGATTACCTGGAATTCCTGGCAATGATGTGAGTGCTCTGTGCTTTACATTTCATGTATTTTGCTTCATATTGCTGGGCACAATAAACCTCAAGCCTGCAACGGGGGGTGGAACTACAAAGTGTGTACCTCCCACCACATAGGTTATGTTGGAGCTCATTAGTCATGAGTGACCAATGAAATTTCAGATTTAGAGAGAGAGGAAAAATGTGAGGAATTTATTAAACAAATTTCCTTTGTGACAAAGTAAACCAGGACCAGAGTGTAATTAACTCTGGGTTTAAAGGAGGGGCAGAAAAACATTGTAACATAATACTGGTGCTGACGACAAAGAGGAGGTGTACGTGAAGTATTTCATTTTAAAGATTTAGGTAGATAAAGGAGGTTCATGTCACACATATTATTCAGAATGCTGTGTTATAAACCAGTTCTATACATTATGAATCATTGGCTGTGTTATACCCTGACACATCTGCCGGGACTCAACAATGGCAGCTTTGTAGGCTGGCTGCTGTTAGTATCTCCTGTGGAGAATCCTCAGTACGGTGTGGAATGATTTCCTTCAATGGGCTTGTTTGAAAAGAGCCAGAGGAATGCTGCTCTCTGCCCTGGTGCTGACTTTTTCTGCATGCATGCTAAGTTGAACACAGTACAGGGCCTCCAACAGAGCTTTAATTTGAATGTGACTGACCAACATGAAGAAGCAGTCAAGGATATATCTAACACTTTAGAGGGAGTGGTTATAGTTAATCCAATTTATAAATTCATAGGGCCCCTCCCACTGGAGTAGGATTGTGTTTGGATGTAATAAATGAAGGAATATTGACATAGGGAATAAAAGTATTAGCTGAGGTAATAGAAGGATTAAAATGCTCATGGTTTTTCAAGTATAGAGTGAAAAAATACAAACACTGAAGTGCCCTGAGCTTTGTTATGATGTTTTAGTTAAGCCTGATGTCTCATCTCTGCAGGGTCTGACCGGCCCTTTTGGAGAACCAGGGCCCGACGGTCCCTCCGGACAGAAAGTGAGTGACTAATGAGCCTTTTCTTTCCTGCTTTAGAGACTGTCAGTGAAACAGTGCCAAGCTGCTGTCCAGTCTTTTGGCATGGCAGCGAGGGCCGCAGTGCATAAACCAATTCCTCTTGACAAATGAGACTTAATCCTGCAAGTCCTCTGTGTAATCTCCGTGGGGAATGAAGCCCCAACATCGGTCTTCATTAGGCTAAACATGGCCGGGTCAAGAGTGTCCGGCTCAGTCATGTGATGAGCTGGAGGAATGTTAACTGGGGCCGTCTGCAGGCTCGCACAGCTCAATTTTACCTCAACACATTTTTTATTTCACTGATTGTCTCAATGTCTGCCCATGACTCTAATGTATTTATCTTTATCTTTTAGGGTGAACCTGGAAAACCTGGACCTCGAGGGGCAACTGTGAGTAGCATTTCCCCTCCAAACCTGTCAGTGCAAGGATCAGATCGACCATATATAATCTTGAGGCTGTCTATATTTGAACAAGTCTTCTCCTGTACACCAAATTGTGCCAATCTGAGTCATACTGTATATGTCTCTCCTTAGGGTGTTGGGCCAGACGGACCCCCCGTGAGTCATTTATTTATGCATCACAATCAATAGTATTGATTATCAATGTTGTGTCGTGTATTAAATACCTGAAATGTGTCTTTGTGCAGGGACCACCTGGACCTGGAGGACTTCTGGGTGAATTGGGAAAAGTGGGACCACCTGTGAGTAGAATTAGAAAGATAGACTGTCAGTGTGTTTTTACATTAGGATTACCTACTAGAATACACCACAGCATCAAATATTACACATATGAACACTGAGGTGACAGTATGGAAATGAGCAGTGTAGATATGTAGGTGAAGACATTTTCGCTGTATAAATCACTGAAAACCTGTCTACAGATGATTTGAAATATTTCACATCATCATAATTTGAATCAAATAAACAGAGTGCATCTGTATCTGTACATACTGTAGTATGACTCAGCATTACCGTCCCGAACTTTAACATATTTATCAAACAAATCTACAAACATTTGTGCAAAAACACAATTTACACATGCACACACATTCTGTGATTGATAAATTGGTGTCATGTAATCAGTTAATATTGATTTGACCTACTGTATTTTACCAACATGTTTAAAGATTTTCTTATCTAAATGAAGAGACACCGAGCAGCCACAACACAATCCATATAAAATATTTAACGTTTCATCTGAAAAAATTACCAAATTGTCATTTCATATCCTGGAATGTATCAATATTTTGTTGTTAGGACTCATATTTATCTTGTTTTTTCTATAATTTACCTTCGGGCCTTAGTTTTTATCATTTTACATTGGGTTTCTTACCAGTGAATGGACATAAACCTTTTAGCAGGATGTCTGCTGAACTGAATTGTTGTTATTGGCCACATTCAGAGTCTTTGTGTCTTTTTAACACGTCTCTTTCCACAGGGGGCCATCGGTGTGAGGGGACCACAGGGACCTCGTGGACCAACAGGGCCCCGAGTAAGTGACACAGCATCATCACCAAAGATTACATGTCACACATTTTTCACACAGGAGGGAGCATGATGCAAGCATGAAATTATTCTGGCCTTGTAAGCGATGCCACCGCTGCGCACTGCTACTCTTCCTCTAGTGATTCACAAGCTCCTTAGAGCCATCATACTGATATATTGTAATATAAAAGTGTTAACTTGTATTTCCCCTCAATTTCAGGGTGCAGCTGGAATGCTTGGCAGTGCCGACCTGGTAAAGCTTTGTTTTCTGAAGATTTAAAATTAGATTTTCTTTCATAAAATGTCAGGAATATTTTCAAATTTTATTGTGGTGCTCTTTAGTGTCCAAACTCGTGTCCACCTGGGACCTCTGGACATCCCGGCCTTCCTGGCATGAAGGTGAGTAGTAGAGTTTTTTTGTCTCTGTTCTGAAATCATAGTCAAGTCCCTACGTACAGTGTGTTTAACGTCTATTCTCTGCATGTTCCCAGGGTCACAAGGGCGTAAAAGGTGAAGCAGGAGAACCTGGAAAACAAGGGCACAAGGTAAAATATGCTCTGTTTGGAGGAAAATTCCTGTCTTTAGGAATAATTACTTCAAAACATGAATTTGCCTCCAGGAGTGTCACGCACGTCACAACATCAGGAAAAAAATTACCCATGGCTTAAATGTGAAGAAGGGATTCCCAGCACATTTGAGACAAGTATTATTTGTGCTGCTCTATTTCAAGAGGGAGTGATACATGCCTGTGTGTAATGCCTCTGACTTAATGTGCGGAGGATGATTTATTGGAAATGATGTTCAAGCACAACTACCCTTCTCCCTGTAATGCAGCCGTGCACTATATAAATGGAAATGAGTCCGGGCCTATCTCCCTTTATCACCCTGTGCCAGGATATGATTTACTATCAGTCTGTGCTGCGTCCCCGCACAATGATTTTCTCCTTCACTGAAAGTTTCATTTCAGGGGCCTTTTTCCCTGTTTTCCCCCCATTCACAAATACACAAGTACAAAGATGTTAATACGATAAGCAGATGTTGTGCCGGATATTGAAAAAGAATATTGACTTATAAAATAAGTGTGTGTTAAAAACATACAGGTAAAAGAATTCACTTTATATTTGAAGTGAAAAGGATTAAATATATTTCAGTTAATACATATAACATTTAATATGATCCCTGATCTTTATTTGAACAAAACAAACACAGATTATTGTTGTTATTGTTACTATTTTGATCAAACCACCAGAGATTAAACACATTTCTTTTAATCATCAAATGATTTAAGACGGAAATTTCCTTCTTAAAAATAGATAATGTGCACAGTTGCAGACCCAAACCATTTTCTATCTTCGTGATTAAGCCTCCTCAGGTCTGTGTCAAAGTCAGCACATAAATTATTTGTCATTTGCAAAGCAGGAGAGGGGTAATTTGGAGTTAAATCGTCTGATTCACCCCCCCTCCCTGCGATCCATTAAGACGTGGGTATTAAACACATCTCAGAGTGGCTCCCTCATTTTCTAATTAACAGTTGACAGGGGCAGCCTGCGTGTTCATTTTTCTGAAGAAGAGAGGAAACGATGGGATGCCAGTTGCATCATGTGTTTGGATGTGGTTTCACTGTTTCATGTGATTGACTTTACTCTGTTTTTCACTCAGGGTGAGGAGGGAGACCAGGGAGGTCCTGGAGAGGTCGGATCCCAAGGACCAACGGTGAGATAGATAATTTGTTGGATGATAAATTAAATCCTTCTGAGTTCTTCATTGTCTCTGGTTTGTTCGTTCTGCTCACTGAGCACCTGTTGGACCTCTTTTTATTTTAGGGCCCACAGGGGAATCGTGGCGCCATGGGAATGATGGGCCCCAAGGGAGACAGGGTAAGTGTGTCTCTAATTTGCCAGCCCATGGTACCAGTCATATACATCAGACTCCTTCTGATTTACTTTAAATCCTTAATGGCTCAATGTTCTCTGGCAGGGAGCGCGAGGTCATGATGGAGACCCAGGTCCTCAGGGTGTCATGGGGGCAACTGTAAGTGTGTCCCACGATATAAATGCTTTTATTTCTTAAGTAAATGCTGTTTGTATGATTCACATGTGTTATTTAAATCATAATTTCAGGGGGATTTTGGACAGAGAGGTGTGATGGGCGAGCTCGGGCCTAAAGGTGAAACGGTGAGTGGACACAGCATCATCATGCATGTCAACACTTTTGAATGTATAGTGGAGCTATTGTAAAATGACTAATTGTACTGCTGCTATGTTGTTCAGGGTGTTCTAGGGCCAAGAGGAATCACAGGCGTGCCGGGTCCCAAGGGAGAGTCTGTGAGTGTCTGATCATCGATGACAAATAAAACTATTTCTTAGATGCATTTTGTACAAACGACTCATTTTGTTTTGTCCTTTTTTCCCCTGTCAGGGTTTACCAGGTGTGGATGGTCGCGAGGGTATTCCTGGGATGCCGGGAGCGAAGGTAAAGCATTAATCCTACTGTTTCAGACATAAAGATTTACTTTACCTGGTTATTTCGTTGCTATATGAGCAGCGTTTTCTTCACGGTCTGCTCCGTGTCTGCAGGGAGGCGTCGGGAAGGCTGGTGTTCCTGGAGAGGTTGGACTTCAGGGGTTTCCTGTGAGTATGACCTTTAACCCCAAACTGTCAAGACTCATTGGATGCACCTGAGAAAACTCACCAGGAGCAGCTTAAGAGTCGCCACAGCTCAGATGTGCTGCAGTACAATACTCGAACAATAAGATGTGTTTGAGATCTCATATTTTATAATATATGATAGAGTTGACCTGAATCCCACCAAACTGTGACATTAAACACATACAGTAGGGTGCGCTGTGCGACAGCAATTACTGTCCTCCTCAGGGACAGATGCAAAGTTCCTCCATCCCCAATGAAAACACAGATGAGAATCAGTTGAAAGATTATGCAAGTGTAAAAGCAAATACAAATGCTTTGGTACTGTACTTCGGTAGATTTTTCAGGTATCTGTATTTTGTTACTAGTTTTCCGAGGACTTTGTACTTTAACTCACTGCATTCTAACACAAATATCTACTCAATCACATTTCCTCCCAGACAGTTTATCATCTCAAAAATCTTTTGTTGCTTTAACCTGTTTGTAGTATATTGTTTTTTTAAAATTTGAAGTCACAGTGGCTTAATTGAAATAGTCATTGATCCATGAGTTTGCTTTGCACAGATACATTCGGTAGAAATGGACTTCAGAGGGGTACTTTCTACTTTCATACTTTTAGTACATTTTAGAGCCTGTTTTTCTATACTTTCAGTAAAGATGTTGAATCAATACATATACTTTTACTTAAGTAATTTTTAAAACAAGAATCTATACTTCTGTGAGTACCTTTGCCACCTGTGTGTAAAAGTCACCTGATTTAAACAAATATGTTTTCCCACTGAGCCTGACTCTTCTTCACGCTCCCGTGAGGTTTACAGTCACGTGAAACCTTTTTTTCTTTGAATATTTCCTCTGTCTTGTCAGATTTTTTTGTATTTCTGTTGCTTTTGTTTCTCCTAAAAAATGTTCTGTGTTTTTAGGGTTTGCCTGGTGCACCTGGACCAAAAGGCTTAGGTGGCCCTAAGGTTGTTTTCTCCATCTATTAAAAAACATTTTCAGTTGTTTCTTGCATTTATTCATTGATTTGTCTTTTCTTAAATTGTCAAAAATCTAAAAGGCAGTTTCGGTTGTTTCTGTGTAGGGAGACTCCGGTCAGACAGGCTTCCCTGGAACATTGGGACCTGCTGGCAAAACAGTAAGTTATTCAAGCAGCACATGTCGTCCTGGTCTTTTGTCACCTCTGTTGTGCCTCTGAGTGATTTTTACTGTCTCTCCACAGGGTGAGCGTGGAGAACAGGGCGAGGTGGGACCTGTTGGACCCATTGGTGATCCTGTGAGTATTATCTATCAGATGAGTTTCCATTGTCTTTACTTTGTCTTTCATTTTACTCAACTCTTTCTTATCATTCTCTCTTTTTCCCAAAGGGAGATGTAGGAGAGAAAGGCCCCGAAGGTCCAGCTGGAAAGCCGGGTGCCAGGGTAAGAAATAAACACGTTCACAATTGAACTGAATTCACATTTTGTCCAATCGATTTAAAAAATAATGAATGGCTTTAAAAAAGTAAAAACCCCTGTAGGATACAAACACTGAGAGCAGCACTAAATGATAATTTCCTCTTGTGTGTTTTTCATACTGTGAAACAACAAGCTGAGGAGAAGGTGGAAGCCACAGAGTGTGTAGCCCTGCCTGTGGTTTTCACAGGAATGTCTCAGAGAATAGGCTGAGCCTGGATCTCACATGAGGTCTATTTTCACAGCAAGGGGAGAGCGGTGAGCAACAGGCTGAATGAGCTCTCTGTTCTCCTGGCATTCCTCAGACAGTCGGCCGGCGATCAAAGATGGGCCGGCTCACACAAACATGCCCGAGAGAATAAGCTTTTTAGTTATTCACTCTTATTCCCTGTTGTTTATAACCCTGCTCAGATGTTTCTCCTGCCCCTCAGAAGTGCATGTTATTTGTTATATTATATTATTTGTTATCCAATCTTCTGCATAAATGATGTATTTCTTAAGATAAAAAAGGATATTGATTTAGTAAATATGGATGATGTGCAAAGAATGAGTTGACTGTTTATGTATTAAAGATATATAATAGCCAGTTATCGGGAGAAAGCCTGGGAGAAGAGGAACAAAGCTGTTTATGTGCTAATTTTATTTTCGATATTATATTGTGTTCTCCACTGCTCCCCATGTTTTCTATGTCTAACAGCGGAAGTAGATGTTTGTGCTTGAAAATCAGGAGTGTCATCTAGCCTCAGATGCATTGGCATTACACAGAAATACAAAAATACAGTATATGTATGTTTTGTATGTTATAGGGACCCAAAGGTGACCCTGGCCTCCCCGGTCTCCCTGGTCCTTCTGGTCTTCCTGGTGTGAAAGGAGAGCGGGTAAGAAAATGCCACAGTCACATTCAGGGACCTACTTAAATTCAGGACTATTGTCTTGACCAGTGAAAGTTATGTCCCAACAGCAAACAGCCGATTAGCTCCCTCTAGTGTGGAGAAATGGAACATTCACTGAAATCTAAAGATCATTTAGTTGATTAACACACTTGCTGTTTTTTATTACAGGGGGAACGTGGAGAAGCAGGACCCAAAGGAGAGCAGGTATGATACTAATGTATTCTGTCTCAATTGTCATTCAGCATCTCAAATAACAGGCGGGTTACTTTGCGCACTTCAATCAAAGAGTATTTTTTCATAGGGAACACAAGGTGATGAGGGAAACGCTGGCGACAAAGGAGATTTTGTAAGTTGTTGAACCAACTCTAACACTGTTTATTCTTATTTGAACTACTCAACGATCTCACCAGAGTTTAACCGTCTTTGTTTCTGTCTCTCGATCCATCAGGGTGAATCAGGAGAATCTGGAGCTAAAGGAGAGGTGAGTTCACACAGAGTAGCTCAGTATTGTCCTGTGGTGTCAGACCGTTTAGAGAAAGTGTTGCAGTTTTCTAACATTTGACGTCGTCTGGGGCCTCATTTTCTTTTTCTGTCAAGGTTGGAAACCCTGGCGAGCCTGGCAGGAGAGGTCCCGAGGGAAGTCGAGGTCAGCCTGGCATTGAGGGGCCGCCTGGCACACCGGGACCCCGGGGCATGCAGGGAAACAGGGGCCAAACTGGAGTCAGAGGATCTCAGGGGCCTGCGGTAGGAAAAGCAACAAAGCGTCTTTACTGAAACTCTCAGAAGAAAATGTTGTGATTGAGCCAATCAAATCAAATCAGCTGTGACTAACATAACTGTAGAGGTGTATAAATGTATAAACGTGGAAGGCAGAGGTATGGTCAGTAATAGTACTGTAGATGTGGGCAGGCACATATCTAGTTGTACTCTAAATCGTCGATCCACGATGTGGCCGCAGCCGTGACCCTGGATCTGTGACGATAACACACAGTGACTCCAGGGAAGATGTCAAGTCACTAACATGTATTGATAGACATGAAGGTGATGAAGAGCACTAGACTTAATTGAAATGATGCTTAAATCTGAAGTGATTTGATGTTTTAAGTCATAAAAATGAAAAACTACCACTTTCTTGTGTGGAACACAGTTTAACAACAAACAACACTTTAACAATTTAATATTCTTCATTTTCTTGTATTGTTACATCAAAATCCAATAATAATAATAATGATAATTGCTAACTGTGCTTCAATCCTTCCACCCTAGATCCCTTATTTTCCTAACTGATATTTCTTTTGATTGCAATTTTGACTAAAACCTCCTCGTGTCCTGTAGAGGAATCACTTCATGTTTAAACAAATTCATGGATCCACATTGTCATCCAATTAAGTATCTTCCCTAGTCCCTTCTTACTCATTATGGTCAATTCCCAGGAACATGTGGGCACTGATTTTTCAAAGTCCCTTTAAAGTCTACAGAACATACAGTATGTAAATTAAAAGTCCATTAATACGTCTCCATGGGTTGAGTAATTCTCTTCCTACAATTGTCCTATTTTTTTAACTTGTGCAAAAGCTTTAAAACCCAAGTATTTTGCAGCAGAAGTGAATAATTCAAAACACAAAAAGGAGATGCTGTCAAAGTTGCTTGCTGAATCTTCTGTGCTGGAATTGAATCCCCACCAGCTCCAGGCTCAGCAGCACTCTAACATCCCCGCAGAGGAGGTTATCAAAAAGAGTGTTTTCTCATGGAGATCGATAAAATCCAAACTCAGATGTAATACCTGTGGCGTTGTAATGGAAAACTCTTGTACATATGTCCAACATGTCATTTTTTGAAAGCTTCACCTCAGGTTGTAGGACTGGCAGAAGTTTCTACACCCAGAGAGGAGTCAGTAAAAAATGGCGGAGTGCTGTTTTCACTTGATAACAGTGCTGCTGAATCTCTTTGAAATGTTTTATACACTGCAAAGAAATATACTCAAGTCGTCTTTTTTCTTTCCAGGGTAAAGAGCCAAGTGATCAGCACATCAAACAAGTTTGCATGCGAGTCATGCAAGGTAAGACAGATGGGCATCTGAACCCATTTATCATATCTTTGCACCTTATTCCTCGACTTTAATCTTTCCCAGAATGCCTCATTACACAGCCACACATGGAGCTCTAGCATCTCATTGATCCCGGCCATCGCTGAATACTCTGAAGTTCAGAAAAGGAAAGGTCTAATAACTGAAACATGAAATAAGCTTCGGTCTTTGTTTATGTGATGGATGAAAAAATTCCTTCTCCGAGCTTTAGAAATGTTTCACTGAAGTCACAACCTCTGTTCTCTTCATTCGTCTTCACAACTCATCTCCTACGCTCATGACTTTTTTATGCCCGACGTGCTGAAAAATTAATTTCACCTCCAGCAGACCTGTACTCCTCTGCTCCAAGCAACGAGTCTGCCTGGAAAGGAAATCTTGAAAAAAAAAAAAAAAGAGCAGCCGGTGCATGAATTTTCATCAGCAGCCAGAAAACTGAAATCTTAAAAGCAAAGTAGCATGCAGCAAGGAGCCACGGGAGATTAATATTAGATTCTCTGCACCATGAACATACATTTCCTGTTGCTGATTGCTGGAAATAAATAGTATTATCTCGTTTCTGCACAATTCACTGAGGTAAAAAGGAAAAAGGTTGAAAAACCAGGGGAGCTCGAGGGATAACGTGACCAAAGATTCACCTCCCTCTGAACTCGAGCACGAGAGCTGCTGCACCGTCTCACTACAATGTGATTTATTGCAGTTACATCTTAAAAATTCCCTTGATAACAGTCAGTCACAACAATTTTGTTTATGAACGTTTAATGTGTTTTGGCCATCTGATGGTTTTTCATCCTCTTTTTTGCTGTACCCCAACAGAACAGCTGGCCCAGTTAGCAGCTAGCTTAAGGAGGCCAGAGTCTGGCGTAGCTGGCTTACCTGGAAAACCTGGACCTCCAGGGTCTCCCGGGCCTCCGGGAGACAATGGCTTCCCTGGGCAGGCTGGAACAAGAGGCCTTCCCGGACTCAAGGGGCCCCCAGGAGCCCTGGGAAATAAAGGACCTAAAGGTGATGCATTTATTGAATGGTGTTGATGCATAGGGCAGACATCGGATGTTAATTAAACATATTGGTCATTATTTGATGTACACTGTTTTCCTCATTACTTGACATTACATTATTAATGCATGTCACAGGTGAAATGGGAGACAGAGGCTCCAGAGGGCCGACAGCAAGAGGACCTAAAGGTCAGCCAGGACCTCCTGGACTTCCTGGTGAGTAAACGTTGCCTTTTAAATCTGCTACTCTATCCTAATGGCTAGTTTCCTTTTTATTTTCTGTATTGAAACACGTTTTTATCTGTTAAGAGTTTATATCTTCTTTGGCGTGTGTTTGTGTTTTAGCAGAACTAAGCAAAAATGACCCAAACAACTTCATGACATGTTCTGCAGAGTTGGAGTTTGACCCAAGGATGAACCCATTACATTTTTTTGTGGATCTAGAAAAACGTGCAAATCCTGGATTTAACTTTCTTTAACATGGAGAGATAGTGTGCTTGCTCTGGCTGAGGTATGCACTCTCCAAGTGCCCTTGTAGTTATCTACAGACGAAGAATGATTCCAGCATTAACCAGAATAGCACCCGGTAGAGTGCATGCCTCCGCGTTATTTTTAATTCCCTTAAATTCAACCAATTTGCACCAAATTACACACACACACAAATATCAGTCCCATAAATGTGCCTGGTTTCATTCATCAATATCTATGAATTATTCTCTGAGAAATCAAATGAAAGGTTTGATAAATGCCCTACGTCACAATGTCAGAGAAAGAAAAACTATCTCACCGCTCTCTGACCCAAATCTGCACCAAGATTGAATGGATTCTTCCCTGACTCATACTGCACCCGTCCACCAAGCGCTAACTAACAAACAAACGCAGATGAAAACAGAGGTAACTACCACATAGGTAACAACTGACATCCTAACATGAATTCCATGATCACAGGTGAAGCAGGCAAACCAGGCTACGGTCAGGACGGTCGGGACGGGCAGAGGGGACCTCCTGGCGTTCATGGACAACACGGTGTGCCTGGGCCTCCTGGTGCAGCTGGCCCTAACGGTTACTGCGACCCGTCGTCCTGTAACCTCCAGGCGGGGGCCGCCCACCAGTCTCTGGATGTGAAGGGACCTGCAGGGAACTAAGAGCCACTCTGGCAGAAACAGAAAGACTGTTGGATTATCTCCCCCTGAGCACACATCATTTTTCACACTTTCTTCCCCTCGGGCTGTTGGTTGTTGTGGTGCCTTCGATCCATTAACCTCTAGTGTTGTGAACGTGTTCTGTGGCAGCCACAGCTCCATCGGAAGGAGGCACAAGTACAAAAGAAAAAAACAGAACATTGTTTTTTTTTATGTACTGAAAAAAAAATCCAGCTTTTTTTTCCTGTTGTATTTTTCTACCGGAGATGTTTTGATATATTCAGGGTAGTGAGTTCACATTACTGAGATGAAATGAAATGACCAGAATTTGTTCGTCCCACTCTCCTCCCTCTGCTTTTCTCTCCTCCTCTTTCCCATTTACATCTGTTTCTCACACACTTCAATTAATGACCCAAATCAAATCAGGAGCAGGATTTTCAGGTAAAATGCTTTTTTTCCCCAAAATATTTTACTCTGTATGTGCTAATGTACCAAAGATGCAGGTACCTTCATTTGTTTTAGTAAAGAGTTTTATTTTTTTCTTGTCCGAGCATCGTTTCAGCCTTGGAGTTTAAAATAAAGGAGAGAGGATGAAAATGCCATCAAGTCACACTGACTTCAGTTTGTTGTAAATCTGTAAAAAAAATATGTTTGAAATGTGGTATGATATTATATTTCCTACAAAACAAGCTGATGAGTGAGTGTACAGAAAAAACAGAAAGAGAGCAGCTGTGCATTTACGGGAATATAATTTAGGAATGAGGGAAACCCTCATCAATGTGAGAAATAAAGAAAACTACACATGCAGTGTTTAATTTATTCTGTATACTGGTTTCTTTCTGTGATGATAAATATTGTGGCAAATATCAGAAAATGCATAAATCAATTCTCGTTTTATTTTTAAACTGCTCAAATAAAAACTACAATCTTGTAGTGGTAAAATACTTTGGCAGATGGTGTTTTTGAATAGTTACTGATGTTCTGTTATTACCATTTATACAAAGTATTCAAACATATTTTTTTTGCTGTTCTCAGGTTGTCCATCCATCACATTCTTATGAAAATAATATTTCTTGAGTGAATTTCTCCAAATTCAGCACAAACATTCACTACGTGATGTCACTCAAAGATAAAGTGCTTTTGGTCAAAGGTCAAGATCATGATGACCTCATTCTCTTATGCTGGTGAAATATCAGGAACACCCATATACCTCTGACACGAACATTAACTCAAGGTTAACCTGATTGGCCTTGTGAACACGTTATTTTAAAAACGCCTCGAGAGAATCATTTCAAATTTGGCACAAGTTTGCACTTAGACTCACAGATTATCAATCTGGGCTCTTTTCTTTTTTGGTCTCTTGAAAAGAGGCATACAACCACAAGGTGATGGTTCTAGTACAGACTTGTTGTCCAATATCTCACCTACATTAAGTGCAGAAAACACAGGAGACCAGCAGAATTAAAGCACTGAATAACATTTATTGCACATGTGTAAGGCAGGTGCCATTAATCAGTGTGAAGGTAAAAGATGTTGCAAAGAAAAGTGTAAAATATAACCTCGGATTCCTGGTGACCACACACACACACACTGACACAGGATCATCACCCCCCACAGGAGAATCACTGCCCCCACTCTTCAACAGTTCAGTATCAGTAGACTGGTTCTGATACTTAACATCCAGGACCTTTTTCACACACACACCAGGTTTAAATTGCTTCTTTTTTTCCAGTGAAAGGCAACAGTGAGTGTTGATTTTTCTTTTTTCCCCCCAAAATAGCTAATGATGTCGAGGTGGTAAACCAAGAGTGAGGTAGATATTTAACGAAACAAAAGACTTTCGAAAAACACGCATGAAGGTCACTCTGCACAGGGAGCAGCGATGGGTTACAGTGAAAAGCAGCAGGCGGACATTTTTAATCCATGGTGCCATGCTGAGAGGCTTATCCATATTCCCCCTCATTACAAGCTTATTTACAAGATTAGATTACGTGTGGCAAAAGATCAGGTTACATTACTGTGAAAACAACAGACAAAGAACCATTGTTTAAAGTGAACTTTGAGGAGGTTGTTAGAGAGCGTTTCCTTTGAAGGACGCTTCAACACCTTCAACACCTCCTTCCTTAGAGAATTTTTATCCATCCGATATTTCCCACTAAGAATAAATGGATTTTAAACTCGGAGCGATGTGAAATGAAGCAGGTCTTGACATCAGCAGCCCTTTCTTTTTGTTCTCCCTGGTTATCAAACCGTTAAGCTAAAGTGAAAGTCACAAACTGGTGCGCATTAATATCAATTCCAGCTAAATTCAATTTACGCTGAGAGCTTTTTCTCTCGTCAGTGCACCAAAAAGTTCAGATATTACGATTGCTAATGCCGTCTCATTTGGGTTTGGTCAAGGTCTGCATTACTGTATTCGAGGGGAAGCCATTAAGGCCAGTATGAAAATTAGTGTAGTGAAAGAACAGTAGTCAACAGAAGGAAGGGATTTTATGAAGCTTATAACCTAAAGAAAGATTGTTTTCCCATTCAAATTACAAGCAATGTCAGTATAAACACATGTCCAGCAGGGGGCTCTTTCAACCCACAAATGAATTCGTTGGCACACATTCAATTCAATACCCATTTAAAAATTAGACCCACTCACACTGATACAATTTAACACATAAAACCAAGCTGGCATGCTGTAAAAAAAATTATATATATACATATACACATATATATATATATATATACAAAAGCACTGCAGCTTACATGTGTAAGAGAAGCATGATGACTTCCAATGATGTGAAGTAAAAAGAAAGAAGAAAAAGTGTCAAACAGATCTTAGAGGATGAAACGAGAAAAGAGAAAAGTTCTTAGCATCACAAGAATTTCAGATACTCCCACAGAACCTTTCAAACATTCATCATAGCAGGACACTTAAAAGTCAATGTAAAGCCTTTGAGTCAAACTTTCATTAAACAGCGCTTGGGGTGAAAGCACGAGGACAGAAATATACACAAGAAAATAATCATCTTTACTGCAATATAAACCTAGAGTGTGATTATATAGTTTAGGTTGCTTTTTTAAATGCATTTCATCATAATATTTAATGGGAATTAATTAAAGTTTTCTGTGTGATTTCACTCCGAAGGATATTCAAGCCTCCACATGTGAGTTTCTGTTTAAGAAATATCACATGGCCTGTTTTGGAAAAGCTGACTCATAACCTTGTGAAATGGGTAACAAGCAAATAAATACATAAAAACTCCAGTCGTAAAGACCCCCCCTCCCCAACAAAAACAAAACTACACGATGACCCATGGAGTTGGTCAGTGAGTGAAAATCCAGGATGTAGACTAGACCATGATATTACTGTTAAAACAAACAAAAAAGTTCAAGTATTGTTATGAGTGAGAACGGTTCACAGAAATAAGTGAGAAATAGTAGTGTAGTCGTCCGATTTCCTTTGCATGGCTGACAATCAAAAATATACAAATAAACCAGAGAAATCATCATACAAGACACTATGTAAACAATATATATGTTAATGATCACATCAGACAAAAAAAAGTTTTTCAATGATGTTTGATTTAAAAAACAAAGATGAGAACTTCAATGTGTCATCATCATAGACTGTGTATAAAGATGACGACATGACTTCACCCCAAAAGTGAAGCCAAAGTGTGTTGATCGCCACCTGTTGGCTTAATTCAGTATAGATCATAAATCATGCCCCCTCCATGTTAGCAGATGGGACGGTTTCTGTCATATAATAAGTTTTGACCAGCATGTGACCTCGCTGCTTCATCCCCAGATTGCCACTGGGCCCTTTGGTTTCAAATGTTCTCAAGATGGTGGCGTTCTTACACGGGATATTTTGGCTTCAGCTCTGAATAGTGGGAGGAAGTGGAGACGTATGGTTTATCTTTATATTCAGACTATGGTCACTACATTGACACATTACAGCTATGTTTATGAACAGTTATTAAAAAGGTCCCATCATGAGCCCCATTGGACGAGTTCATGTTATTTACAGAATAAACCAACAATAAAGGTAAGTACATTATTTTCACTGAATCTGCAAATGATGTTGTGACAGGTTTTTTTGGTTTGTCTTATAAAAGAAAAAGATAAACCTCAGTGAGGAGCTCTGAGCACTGATGCAGAATCTACAGAAACTGTCATGATGCAAATGTGTCATGAGCAATAATTTCAATAAACAAACAACCGTCTCAGTGAGCCAAAACGCATTACTGAGAAATATTACTGAATATCATGCTACATTTACAACAATTATTATTACCATCAGTCAAATACATTCTCAAGAACACGCTTAAAATAAATAATTTCCATGTTAGACACATCTGCTGCACTTTGGTTGCATAAAGCTTGTTTCAAAAATCTGTTGTTTTCTCACACCTACACATGAAACAAGTATATATTCATTCAGTTAATCTCCCACACACACACGAGATGTACCTTCTGCCAGCGCACCGGCTTATCTGAATAACAGATGAGCAGAACAGAAGAGTGCATAGGCAAACCTATTAGGAAGGAGTCAAACAAACAATTAAGATCATCTTCTCAGACACGACTGAACTTGACAGACATAATGAGAATTGACAAGGAATGCATTACATCACAGTAGAGGATGTGAAAACAAGAAATAACTTAAATGTTAAAAGCATCGTAAAAGATAAACTCAAAAGGTTTCCAGTGCACTGAAAACAAACCCAACAGCAATGCCAGAAAAAACTAAAATCCCAGACTAGCATCCAAATGTGACTGTGAAGTGAACAAAAGAGGTCAGTTGTGAGTCTGTCTGATTGAACCGGAGCTGAGGAAGCTGTCAGAGACAGTGAGGCCCACTCTTCTCCTGCTCTGTGGCGGCTGCACAGATCTCAGAGCTGCACGTCCATCTCACGTCTTCAGCTCAAACCCCTCGGGCTGGGTTCATAAGGATGGTAGGATGCAGTCGCTGGGGTCGCACGTCCCAGGAGGTCCACGGGTCCCCGGTGAACCAGGAGGGCCCTGAGAAGTGATCCCAGGAGGACCTTGACAGAGAAGTAGATGATATAAATTCCTTATGTCATGTTGTTTCTCCTGTTGTTTTATTACTTCTGAAGAATTGGTAACCATTTACTTTAATAGTATTGAATTCGGCTACAGCACTGTTTACCCCTGAAACCCAAAAAGTGTTTTGTGACTCAAACACTTCACCCACCCGTCCATTGGTATAGTGGTGAGTGGATAGTGGGCGTATTTTCATTATTGGGTGAACTAACCCTTTAATCATTGTTCACTGGAGTGTTTCATTAGTGATAAAACTCCAAACGGATTAATCACATGTGCACGTTCCCTCACACAAGCACACACAGTCAGTCACTGTACAAAGATGAGCTGATTTTCTGGAACTATAATCAATAGTTTAAATCCAAAAACATACAGTATACGTAATATCCGCCACAGATTTTGTTCATTTTGAACAACACCAATACATTTGATTGGCATATATTGTCTAATATCTACTTATTGCAGATGTAGTGTATAATAATAAATATATAACAGGAAATAGACACTTGTTGCATAAAAGGAGGAAGCTGTGGCTACAGAGGGAAAGTGGGTCGTCCATCGCTTAATTGATAAAGTGAAAATTAATCAACATGATTTTTAAGAGTCGCATCTGCTTCCAACTTCTCAAACGTGATGATTTCCTGTTGTTCTGTGTTTTTATTGATTCAATTTGAATATATTTGTCAGATTTCAGCAGGTTGATCATTCATCATAATTAGTTTTATTGTTTTACATCATATTGTTGTGAAAAAAGTGGAATTACAACTAAATGTAACCAAAGTTATTGTGTAATACAAGAGTGTTACACAGGTAATTGTGATGATTACATTTTTCATGTGATTCTTGCATTTGTCATTTCTCCTCAACATAATCTTCACTTGTTCAACAGTAAATCATTATGTCTCATTTCAAGAAGCATTTTAAGAGTTTTTTTTTTTGTAACCAAAAGCTGGATATCTCATTTGCACTTCTTTAATTTCACTCTAAGGAAAGACGGACAGAGAAAACACATTTCCCCGCTCTCAAATTGTTCTGGGGTCCTCGTGGCAAACATCAGTCTCTCATGTTACATGGCAACAGCTTGTTGAGGTGGAGACTCTCATAAATTGTCCACACAACACAAGCTTTCATTTTCTTTTCAACACTGTAAGCCTATAAAAAATACCCCTCCACTGACGAGCCACAAGAGTGTCCATTACCTCAGTCAGAGCAGTCGCAGCTCAAGGAGCTCTGCCCCTCACTTCATACGAAAAGAATCACAGACGCTGCCTCTTTCTTTTCCTCCCTCTGAAAACATGACTTGCCCTTTTCCTCCCTTCGCATTCAACTCCTGTGTAACTGCTCACACACAAGCTGTCCACAGTGCTTTGGTGGTTTACAGTGATGCAGGTAGTGGAGAAGTTGCAATAAGTCACAATCAAATCAAGTCAGATTTGTGAAATCTCTGTTCAGGAGGCTGCTTACAGCTGCTAGCTTTACCTGGATAATTAGCTATAATACAGCCCAGAATAATGCACGGCTGGAGAATTATATTGTGATCAGCCTGAGATGAATAACTTAAATTAACAGTTTTATTTCACTGAGATGTTCTCTGTCTTTCCTCCTGTCCTCATGTGAATCATACACTGTGAATAAAGATGGATGACATGACAGCTCCAAAATGTGAAGCCAAAAGTGTCCCTTAATGTTAGTGGATGGGATATGGCCCACAATAAAAACTAAACAAGTTTCATTTTCTGGTAAGTTTGGCTTTCATTAGTTATTTCATGCTGAAGAATGGGCTGAAACGTCATGCTCGACACCTGAGAATGACTCACAATTGGTCGAGCACATTTATAGCGTGGACCTGGCTGCCAAGGCTCCATGCTGCCATCAATACTGCACAGACTCTGGATCCAAATGAGCAAGACGACAGTGTTTGTATCCAGGATACTTTGGCGTCATGATTGTGGGAGGACATGATGACGTGTCGTCCCTTATACAGGCTGTTATGTGAATGATCAACACTGAAGATGTAGCCTACAGGCCCGGGAGGCTTTTACATCCTGAAAATAAAACTGGTGCCGGAAACTTCCTGTACTACATTCATATATTCCAGTCTCCAATGAACCTGTAGGGTGGTCCAGAGGGAACGTGCATTGCTGTATGGGGACGTCAGAGTACAAGCTGTTCTCCAGTGACAGAAATAATCCTCTATTGTACAGAGATATACAATGGCAACATTAAATCAGTGGCCCAGCACACTTTTAAAAGTTTGTTCAGATACTTTCCAACATTTGAACCAGTTAACAAATGTGCTTCACATCTCTGTCCAGCCCTAAAGACAATGTCTTTCACCAGCTGGGACTTGTCCTTTGTCCAGAGGAACTAAAGCCAAATTCCCTTTGCCCTCCACATCCATTTACACAGATAGGAAGAAGGACTTTAGGTTCAGTGTTTAAAGTCAGTGAGGTGGCCCCACCTCTGGTCGGGTTATTTTTTGGTTCACAGGACCGTGGGACAAGCTGACATCTTAGGTTGTGTTCAGAGAAACTTTCGTTCGAGACAACAAGATGGGCTTTTACTTTACACAATGGACGTCATCGCCACATCACTGCAGCATTTTCGTCTCTGCTAGAGTCCCATTTATGTTACAGCAGCGCCAGAGTAATATAAAACACTGTGCCATCTTGAAGCTGTGTTAATCTCTGACATGCCGAGATGCCAAATGAAGGCTGAAATCGAATTTTAGGTTTGAGACGGGACACAAAGCCGGTTTTCTCCCCTCAGTTAAGTCCATCAGATAACAGACAAACAGACTGAAGAACAGTTCCTATCATAGAGTCACACGTGATCTGAACACTGCCAAACACTGTCACTGACCTGTGGGCCCATCTGCACCAGCACTGCACTTAGATTGCACTGTAACATCAACATGTGCTTCATCCACAGAGCAACAGCCAACTGCTTTGGATGTAGCAGTTTTTTCCTATATGTGATGTCTTCTTTCTGTTTTTTTTACTTCGTACTTGAGTTGAGCTCTTTTTATTTGTTTCAATTGCAGTCTGTTGCATGTGCATTGTGTAGATTGCCACAGAATTGCATTCTACTGTGCAAAGACAATAGGGGAATCTATCGAGCTCTCTCTATTCTATCCACCTTTCTATCAACCCTATCTACAGCATCATATCTTAATTTATCTATTGCAGTATCTATCCATCTATCTCTCTATTATAGTTCAAGTTTGGTTAGGCGGCAGCAAAACAATTTTTTGTATTCTTCACATTAATGTTTTATTTTTTATTTAGCAATAATTCAAAGTGATAAAATAATCTCCATTGGAAGGCAAAACAGCATGATACACTCTTAGACTTGTCCTTACTGCTGCCAGCTCTTGACTCTTTAGCACAGAGTCATCATCCTTTCTTTCAGTTTGTTTGCACAGCCAGAAGCTCAAGTCGCTATTTGACCACATACTTCAAGACACAGAAATTGCACCAAAAATCTAAATGAACACACTTACTGGGCTTCCTCTAAGTTCAGAGTGTGGTTCTTACCTGGTGGTCCCATAGGTCCTGGATCTCCTGGTAACCCTAGACCAAGCTGCCCTCGTTCTCCTTTCTGACCCCTGTATCCTGAGGACAGACACAATAAACTGACTGAATACAAACACTGCAAATATGAAGTAAATCTGTGAGGTATCACGGATCGTGTAGTACAGTTAGTAAGATTAGTACAAATGCCATAACGTCATAAAATCCAAGAAGTGTCAGGATGGATACAGTTTTACAACCTGTATGTCTCTGGGGACTCCTACACGGCAAAAAAGCTGAATATCAATATTGTGACAATTTCATGCATCAAGTCTGCACTTGAGGTGCAGAGACATACTACTCTGGATTGAATAACAAGATGTACTGACACCCTGTCAAAATATAAAACCGTCAAACAAGCGACATGTGCGTTAGTGTTTGAAGAAGGCGGCGTTGTGGGCTTACACAACTTTCTGTCAACAAAAAGGTCACACGCACGTCCATGGAGATTTCAAACAGAGCGAAGAGGCTTTTTTTAATCAGAGGTCAGACATGTGGGCCACTAAAGACGCTCAGAGAGTGACAGGAGAGGCTTAATCAAAGATGGAGTCATTCTATTGAGAACAAACAGATGCAACAGATGCAGAAAACCATCATGACAACAAAAGACACTCAAAGTTCAAAAGAAATGAAATTCTCAAGATGAACACGCACACCATCAGACACTGACAAAAGCCGGTGCATAAACACTCAGCCTTCCTCTATTTGGCTGCAGAAAGAAAACTAGATTACTCTCTCTGAGATTAAAAATAAATAAATCAAGCAGTGTCGAAACCAGGCACATGCTCAGTCTGTCATGAAAGGTATGTAAGGAGAAGGAATCAGAGCATTCACACTAATCTTCAAGTCAGGCCCAGCAAGTGTGTTGCTTATAACAATATGCACACAAACATAATATTCAAAAGTATTTCTCACTCCATGCAAAGCCGGTAAGTCTTCACAGCTCAGGACGGCAGCATACCAAGCACGAACGTGTGGGGCTGTGAAAATATTTCCCCATGAGGCACTTAAAGTAATGGAGTCTCTGGGCCAGCAGTTGCATGGAGTGCATCAGATACATTGAACGGAGTATCAAGCTTTACACTGCCTGGCCCAGAGGGGAAATGCTTCAATGCTTACATGTCAAGAGAAAAGCTGAGAAAAAAAAAGGCTTATGAATGCTCCAAAACTGAGTCTCAAAGAGAGAGAGGGAGAGGGAGGGGGGGCTATCCACACGTTGCCACAATAATGAGACTTCTTTCAACACTCTCAGGCCCCGGGGCATTCATTCAAGGAGGAGACGTACCATTGAGAAAAGAGCAACGTACCTTCAGAAAAATAAAAAAATAAACTGAATATCACACAGGGCAATAAGTTTGGGTGACACGCCGGAGCATGAAAAATCGAAAAATGTCACATTGCGTCCTGTAGCTTTTCAGGCTTGATTGATACGATTGCAGTCGTGCACCTGTTGTACACTATTGTGAATGGATATTAAAAGCTTTGTCTATTTATTCATGCTTTGCCTCAACAAAAGGACCAGAAAACAGCTTTCTTTGAGCAGCTGTGCCATCAAACACCGACGAAATTCCCTGATATTTCCATAATGTACAGCATGAAAAAGAGGAGCTCCAACACACTTTACAGCCCAATGCAATAAAAGACACTTTGTTTCAGTCTGTATTATTCAATATACATAATGCACTGAAATACAAAAAATAAAAATGTATGTTAAAAACAACAAAATGTTGAATTTATGAAATAGGCACACAATGACTTACATCAGTATTTCCATCATGATGATAAATGTAAAAAATGGATAGAATGATAAATGAGAACTCAATTACAGCAAAGGAGGAGGGGAAAAAAAACAATAACATGCTTTTCAGCATGCATCCGTATGGGTTTTCTCTAACAGCCTGAGACTTTCACTCAGGTAAAAACAAACCATGAGGGAAAAAAATCCAACAGAGGGGTTATTTTTCTCCATAAACAATTCACTCTGGCATATTGGAGAACAAGTCAAATTGGATATTCCAGTTGAGCACAGTCTCCAGCGGAGGATGACGAGAAATAATGAGGAAATATTACCCCAAACTCTCTCCCCAGCTGAGTGGAGACACCAGTCAACAAAGGAAAAATTAGGAAGTTGTTGAATTTTTTATTTATCATGGGAACTAACTTTCCTCTTTATTTTCAATAAATATTTATTGCACAGCTGCATTAAGAATCACCTATAAAACACTCCTTTGAAGCATAAAAAAATAAAATAAGCACAAAAAGACATGTGTAATGCAAATGGAATTAGCACAGCACAAACATTTTTAGTTGAGTAGTCGCCTACTGTTACTGCATTATTCATGGATGAAATCGGCATTTTATCTATTTGTTTGGCAGCGGGTTAAAGTGTAAATGGTCTTGAGTAGTGTGAGGTAGATACAAAGCTCAAAGAGAAAGGCCACTGCAGCGGTGCTTGGATCAGCACCAACACAAAAACACACTCCTCCTCTTCAAAAGTTAAGACTGCACAGTTCTGCTGCGGACACGAAACAAATCTTGGCAAGTCTGAGGTATAAAGCCTGACCAGCAAACCATTAGTGTTGTATGAGCAGTCAGAGAGTTGTATCACTTTGATAAAAAAAAAAAAAGAAAAAAGAAATGTTCACCCGCTTTCCTGACTACCCTCCTTTTTGTATCTGAGAGGCTTTCTTTCCCAGAGTGAGGTATCAATACTGAGGCTCTTTCCTGTCCACTCTCATAATACTTTCTCTTATTCACAGCCAATTCTTCGTTTGTCTTCATATTATCCAGAGAGCCGCTGTGCACCACACTCCTGGCCTTTCCTCTGCTTCCCGCCCCTCAGTCTGCATTGATATATGGGTGTAAGCAAGAGAAAAATACCCATGAATCCCTACAAAATAGAAGCGTCAGCCCCACATTGGTGCCCGCACCCCAACTCAGCCAGTAACCAATGTTGAATCTGAACTCATTACACAGAAAACTGTTCATGTCAACCTTACACTAATAAATGCTGCCTCCTCAAAAATAATATTTGAAATATCTAACACAGAATATGCTTGTCGGATTAAAGCTGTTTTCAGACATGATCTCCAGACTTTTGCTTTTCACATATGAAGAACGTGTCCATGTCAGACTTTACAAGAGGGTTATTCTGGTGCTTTCACATTATGGGTGGCTCCCGGGTAGAGAATGCAGGAGGCAGATCATCACATATAAATGACAGTGTCTATTGATGTCCCTGCTTATATGAATTTCAGTGTTGGCTCCTATCATGAAACCTTTGAATGCATCCTCTACATGTACGGCACTTCTTTCTCATCCTGAGGTATTTGCATTTTTCCAGTTTCATGTCTATCGCATGTCATTGCGTCTTCAGCGACTGAAGTACATGTGTCTGAAAACAGCCTAATTGTCAAACATATGCTGCAACTATAGAAAAAACATTAAATTATATAAAAAACATGGTTTTCACCAACATGTTTGAGCATTCAAGTGGTAAGAAGTTATTTCTTAACAGAGGAGGTTATTATTCTGAGGCTGTGTTATGTTATGTTGTGTTATGGTCCAGCAGCTGCAAGCTTGAGCTCCTACCTTGAGGACCAGTAGGTCCAGGCTCTCCTGGTGGGCCTGGAAATCCATCCTTTCCAGGAGGTCCTGGAGGCCCCTGAACTTGTGAAGCTAAGATGCCTGCAGGTGTCCTCTGCATCATGGCAGCGCTCGATAGCTTCTCTACAAAGTGAGACAAATAAAAACTCCACATGTAGGAATCTCAGGGATGACATAAGGAAAGAAAGCAGAGAACAAAGATGGACAAAAGTAGTTACCTTCAAGGATCCTCAAAACTTGGTTTTGGATAAACATTTTGAGTTCATCAATGACGCCAGGATCTCCCTGTATGTAGAAAGAATGACATCTTTCACTGAGGCATTTTCACACAAACTAAAATTATGCCTCTGCCAACCTGTGCATTTTCAGTTTAAATAAAAACAATTTCCAGACTCATATGAGCGCACTGTGACCTTCATTTCATCTTTGAGTTTGTACTAAATGTGAAGAAATTCACTCCTGAGATGTGTCAAAAATTGTATAGTCACAGTGACCTCTACCTTGGATCTTTCACCACCAAATTCTTATCATTTCAAATTTGAATGGCACTGAACAATGGCACCAAATTTAAAGAAAGTCCCTCTAGGCCTTCTTGAGTTATCGTGTTCACAAGAACAGACGGACGATCTTAAACATACTGCCTGGTTACCTGCTGGCATGGAGGGATAACACAATGAAAGATAACACAGTTAAGAGACAATACCAGCTGTATGAGCAGAGGATAGATATCACGGGATGTAAATCAAATATATACCTGTCAAATATCTTAACTCAAAAACTCCATTTCCACAGAGTAATGGAAACCATGTGGAAGAAATGGCACAGAGGAGAGAATACTGCTAAAACTCCGATTTCTTTACAGTGACATCCCACTTTGCTTTATAACATCACATTTGCACCTGGGAGTAAAGCAGATTAATTCGGGAAATATTAAATTTAATATCGTGAGTCTATAAACTGATTCTTTGGTGTCTCTCTATGTCTGGATCTGTAGTAATAAAAACACTGTGCTTAGTGTGAATAGTGTTGCTTGTCACAGCAGCTCTGTGAGCAAATATAAAAAAATATACTCTCTGCCACGCTGAACCGCTCTTTAGGATATTTCCAGGGCTCCATCTGTAGCAGTAGCAAACAAAAGTAGCCTTGGACCTTGAATCTTTGCATTTGAAACAGTCTTTCATCTCGGCTGTGAATGTTGTATAACTGCTGCGATTGCGCGCAGTATGTGTAAAATGTCTGTGACACATGGAGGTGTTTTTCGCTGCTCTGCGGATCTCGAGGCACGCCCACACATTTCTGACTCTCCTCGCCGTCTGCACCGCTCTCCCTCTCTGACCTTCTGTTGTGCCTAGATGATCGGGAGTGGGAAGTGTAGAGCAGAAAGAGAGCAGCAGCCTCCCTTGCACAGCCTCGTTTGATGTTTCTCGCACAAAAATCTGTGGCTGTACCGTTTTCCACACGGGGAAACAGAAACTGAACTATAGTTACACAAGCACGGGAAGGAAGGTGAGGATTCGAGAGTCTGATTACAGTTGAAATCATCAGGGAGGACAGTCTGTGATTGCTCGGAGGTATGCGCAGATTTACAACTTACCAGGAGGGTTGAACTCCCCAGCTGTCCTGGGGGGCCGGGATCACCCTTTTGGCCGGGTGGTCCCATCGGTCCAATCGGGCCAGGGTCTCCTGTGCGACCCCGCTCACCTTGAACACCTCTTTCGCCAGAAATCCCTGAATCACCCTGCGTTACAGAAGTCCACACATTCGCTTTAGGCGAAAAAAGTAATTTCTTAGCTGCACTAAAGTCATTACAATGTTCATGTCCTACTCATACACAACTGTATCACTTAACATGCTGTACACAGAGACCCATTTCTCTTAATGGGTCCACTCAGGGGTTCTGATGTTCTGTTGCTGCAGCTAAAAGCCTAATTTTGTTTCTTCTATTACCAGCGTCTGCAATAGATACTGCGGAAGTGTGACAGAGCTCCATAATTTTGCCTTGCAAATACAATGGGAAACTGCACTGAGCGTTAAATGGCTTTATCTGGTGCTTATGTGCTTGTGGGGATTAGTCATATTTGTGCTGAAGAGAAGACTTTCATTACTATTCATCGAAACCTTTATAGTCAGAGTCATGAAAACGGCTTCTTTTTAGGAAAACAGGAGCGACGCTACTTACACGTTCTCCTTTGGATCCTCTGTCCCCTGTTCTACCTGTAGCTCCCTTAGAGAAAAAAAGCAGACAAATGTTTTTTCTTGCAGAAAAAGGGTAAAAAGTAATACTTATAATTGGGGAAAAAAAAGGTTTTCACCCACCACACGTGCAAAGTATTGATGTTAATGTAACATGCAGGGGCACACACACAAATCCATTATCCTATTCCATGGCCACGAAGCTGCGGTAGGCAATTATTACTTAAAACCACATTATTTGTTTACTGCTCATATTGCTAGAATATTTGCAGAAGTGTCAGTTCTGCGAGCAAGCCTTCCACAGGATTACCTGACTTTGAGAAATGCACTTTTTTTCTAGATGACAGTGCATTGATTGCTTCTTACTCAGCTCAGGTGTATCGCTCGTATAATATCTCCCTGTATAGTGTTTCACCTTCTGCAATGTCACGGCTCCTCTGCATCGCTGCTGTTTTGTTTGAGAAATGCCTGCTTTTCCACCGCCTGTCTCTCCTGCGCGGTGAAGCCAGCAGAGAAAATACCTGTCTCTGGCTTCATGTCGCATCTAGTGTCTTCCAATCCCTCCCTGTCACTCCTCATTGCTCCCCTTTACCGCGCTCGCACAAACACCTCTGGGAGCATCTTTGTATCAATTTCCTGCTGGATTACAGAAGCCATGCAAAAAGACAATCTGGCATGATGTGGTTTTAAAGCGGGCATCTCTTTGTGATGCCGTTCTCCCCTGCTTGCTTTAATCTGCGGTACTCTGTATTCCCCGATGCCTGATGGGAGGCTTAAATCTATCATCTTACCCCACTGAAATGTGCTTCCCTGAGCATTACATTAAACCTCAAAGCAGTGTGCAAGGTGTCTGGGTGGAGGAGTGAAAGCCACCTGCTAGATGGCACTGTTGCCCCACCAAAAGACTCCAGCACCACGGCAGAAATGCAGGAGAATTAAACCGTGGAAAGGCTCTATGCGGTGCTGAGATTTTGATGGAAGAATATTAACTAATAATCATAATAATCAGAAAACAATAAACTGTTGGGACTGCCGTTAAGCTGTAAGGTGGAAAAATCTTGTAAATCAGGGAGCCAAACAGTAAAGCCTGTCATCAATCCAGATTGGGTATTAGGTCGTATAATTTGTTGGAAATAGCTATTCATAGCAGATCTGCTCTTCGTCCTGCGAGCCCATTCTTATGTAGTAAATGTGAGTAATATATTGAATCAGTCACCTGGAAGCAGAGTTTGCTGCAGTATTTGTTTCAATTTTAGCCAGGTTCACTGGGCAGGAAAATGCATATTTAATCTAAGTGTCTGCTGCCCTCTATTACAAACATTTTATCATTGCCTGAAAGCATTAACTGTATAATTAGGGAAAAAAGACTAAAAGTCAACAAAGCCTTAAATCTGCAGGATTCCATTTCGTTATCGTTAAAATCTCAAATATGCAAATAGCTTTAATGCACTCATGATGATGTAGCCTGAGGGGGCGGGCAGGGGGGGGATAAAAATCTGCTGCGCCATCTTTCTGTACCTCGGCTGATGTAAAGCAATTTCTATAAGGGGATTTGCAACGTGTGCGCTCAACTTACCTTGTATCCTGGAGTTCCATCTTTCCCCGGCCTTCCCTGCTCAAGGAGCGCAACACAAACAAAGACATTTTGTATCAGCTCCCACCTTCGATTGGATCAGCGCTGTTGCTCTCCTAGTAATCTCCACAGTTAATGAGATATCTCAAGCAAGGGATAATGATCCTGATTGCTGTGCGAACACTGTTCCATTGTGCGCTTACAGGGAAAATTACAGAAACCGTCTCTGATGGTAATCACATAGAGGAATGTAATCATCTACAGGAAAAGAGACAGCTAAAATACTTATTTGATCCATATTATCATTGAGTCATGTTCTTTTTTATCTATGTAATGGTTAAACAACCGTGCTGATATAAAGAAGCATTGCGTTATCCTAGGCTTTTTTTCCAACCTGCACCTTATTCGATGGCGCTTCGGCAACAACTAGTTGTGATTCTAAAAGAGAGGAGAAACAGAATTCATGTAGCATCCTTACAGCAACACCTTGGGGTCCCTCAGGTCCTGGGAATCCTGTCTCTCCGAGCGGCCCCCGCTCACCCTGTCAGAGAACAGAGACAGCCGGTGTGTCAGTCGGCAGTGACAAAAGAATGACGCGTGGATTGACAGCTCAAAGAGACTTAGAGGCTGTGGCTCACCGGTTCTCCAGGGATCCCTAGTTCTCCACGAGTTCCGGGCTTCCCCTGTCAATCACAAAGGTAGGAAGAGAGCAGACCAGGTTCAACGGGCCCTCACTGGTCTCATATCCACTGCACCTCTGCAGTTTCCCATTTCTTATATAGCAAACAGGCTAACACAGCTGCTGGGAAAACACACTGCACACGCCACAGGTCTACACCCGAGTTCTTAATGGAAGTAGTGCAGCGTTATGGGACGTGTGTTTTGATAGCTGCTATTCTGAGTACTTTATGAAACATCATCGACTTGTTGCCAGCAGCAGAAAAAACACAGATGATTGATCAGGGAGGTGTGAGGGTGAGTAGAGGGGAATTAATCGGAAAAAAAAAAAAACCTTACTTACTGGAGGACCTGGTGTCCCTGGTGAACCAGGCAAACCAATATCACCCTGAAGGAAACAGCTCGTGTCAGTTAGATGATACACACATACACATAAATCACTGTCACTTCACGTAGACATTCACTGCATAGTGAAACGGAAACCCAGGTATGAAGACAAATGAAAGGAAGACGGCTCAAACAGTCAAAAACATGACGCATTTCTACTCACTGATTTATTAAACAACATCCCTCCTCATGAACTTTAAACACTTTGCATATATCTTTCCTTTTGACAGTGTTCCCATAGAAAATATATATTACTCTGAACATCGAAGAAACTGTAATGTTCCACCCCCCCCAATAAACACACACACAGAGCAGTCAAACACTGTCAGTAAGTGGAAACCTTTTATACAGTTAAATTGACTCTTTTCACAGCTATGAGCCTTTTTCTTGAGAAAAAATATCTTGATGTTCTGTAATGAGAATGAAGTAAAAAGAAAAACACTTTGCCTCGCTCTATAATCAGGTTCAGTCATGGCAGATGAGAAGCATGTGGGTCGACACTGTGGCTTACCTTGGCACCGGGTAGCCCTTCCAGCCCGGGTAATCCCATGGCCCCTGGTTCCCCCTGCGAGAGAAAAACACAACAGCTGTTGTGTCAAGACAAAAAAGTCACAAGTGAAAAAAAACTAAAGGTTGTTAGTTTTGCCTTTTTGTGGCAAAGAAGCTATTCTGGAGAGGGAGTTTGGTGATGAGCCACGGGAAGGTAAAGGACTTTATCTACTAATTCCAGGAATATCTGTCTAACTGTGTCTCAAATGTTTATCTTACAGGCATCACACTCGGCATGTGTATTGTTAAGGGTCCAAGGAAGTACGGGGTCAATTTGGTAGGATTCGGACAGGTGATACATTAAATATTAATAAACTGGTGACTGGCGCACTGCAGCAGCAGCGGCTGGTTCTCATCAACGTCCACGACAACGTCACCTGGGTTCTCTGTACTTTGAACAAAAAGGTGACTCGTTCTTTGTGCAGCAGCAGTGGCACGGCTTCAGGATTTTGTAGCCGGTCTTCACCTGGCGCTGCTCAATTGCTGCTTGTCATTTTTTTCAGAAAGAAATCTGCAACCAGCAAAACCACAGGCCGAGCAAACAGCCCATTCCAAACAGGCAGGTTTAACAAGCATGTATAGATCAGAGGCAAGTAAATTAAATTCAGCAGGAGCCAGCGTTTCACGCATTTTCATGTCTCCCCCTTCATATTCTCGACCGGGTGATAATACAACCTTTAATGTGTCAATATGAGGACAATCCTAAGAGGACAATACATTAACGTGAGTGTATCATATTTTATGATCTATGACACACGCTGTCACACCTTGTATGGCTAAAGATGGGATGGAGAAAAGATTCCCATTTGACAGTTACAATCAGATTTGCTTTCCACACTAAAAATAGAGACCCATTCCACCCGCTCAAACAAGTGATGGCCTCTATCTACCTCATCTTGCGCGCTCTGCCACAGAGAAATGCCATTACGCTGAACAGAGGGGCAACCGGTGCTGACATAGACGGATTGTGCAGGTAATTGTCACCCATGTAGATTGTCATGAATAAGCGAGCGCGGCTAAGAGGAGAGTGGGCCAGCCAGAGGATCAGCTGTGAGACGGATTGGGGCAATTTCACCACAGCACCAGAGTCGCTCACACAATTTATTAAAATGTCAAATTAACATCCTGGTGAAAAATCACTGTGCAACAAAACAATAAAAAATGCAATTGGCCCTGTGAGAATAAAGAATTTGAGATGATGCGTCGGATTGTTTCTGTGTGGATTGTTTTCAGGTGTCATCTGGGGGGGGGGGGGGGCATTTGAAGTGCAGAGCAGGTTCATAAGTTCCCACTGGAAAGACAATATCATACAACAGTTTCATACTTAAAGGAGATGTGATGGTTTTTGCAGCAGCAGCAGCAGCAGCATGTTGCTGTTCGACTGAGAGTGGTTAAGTGCTGAGGCTGGAGGGCAGATTGACTTATGTTGGGGAGAACCAGATACAATGATAGAAAGCAACTGGCAACTCTGACTCCTCTACAAATATATTTCATAACAATATACACCAGAATGAAAAGCTTCTACTCACTGCAGCCCCTTCATCTCCTTTGGGACCCTTAAAAAAGAAGGAAAAAAGGACAGATTACCCCCATGAATGTGACAACTGCCACCATAAAACCCATAAATATAGCCTGAAATGACGTGTGGCTTCTGTATGTTATTGTCATTAAAATTGATGGTATTCATTATTGCGTCATTTAAAAAAAAAGGCCTGCCTGTAAATCAAACTGGCATTGAATTCAATTGAAAATTCCTTAGAAAATGTTAAAATGCCCAGGATCACACATTACAGTGGTTATCACACATGCTTTACAAACACTGCACATGCATCTTTAAAAATCCACTAAAGCATTTTTACACATTGAAAACAAATACAAGAAAAATGAGCCCCTTGTCCCTTTTAACACTGATGAAGATGCTCTCGTATTGATTGCTCCGAGCTGTTGGGCTGTGATGGATGCAGTTCAGGGGGGGAGGCATCCTCCAGATGTAGCTGGGGTTCATGTGCATTGTACTGTGACGGTATTCGAAAGCCTATTTTTTGCCACCACCTTAAGTGTTGGTTGTGGTGGATGGGTCCCTGCAGGGCCTGTGAGTGAATGTCTCCCAGGACTGGACAAGATTACAAACTGTCCGATAAGGACGAGCAGGGGGGAGCTGATAAGCAAATCGGGTCACTTCGGCTTGGATTCCCAAGACCATTTTGCATATCAATGATGTTGTGTATCCTGGGGCGGGTCGGAGACACCTGTTTGAGAGTCAAGAAGCCTCTTGGCTCTCACACATAGCAAGATCTCAATGAACATGATTGACTGTGATATAAGGACCTCAGACGCAGAGATAACACTTGAGGGCCGGTCAGGTTGTTTGTTATTCAGTTCTCTCAGGATCTACGGCTCCTATAGTATCAACATTGCTGTGTGCTGGTGCTTCTCCTTGGAAAAATGTAAATGATTTTCTTCTGTCATGACAATGATTGTTCTTACCGGAGCACCAGGAGCTCCAGGGGGTCCTAAAACAGCTCCACCGCTCTGAAATTACATTTTCTTATATTATAACTCAACAATACCGGTCAGACAACATTTTAACCACAAACATAGATTTGTTCCTGCAGATGACTGGAGGCAATGTATGCATGCATTCATTCAATGCATCACAACAACGTTATCAGTGAAAGTGTTTACCTGCAGCTTGTACAGACTGCTCATCCCATTGCCCTAAAACACAACCAACAGCAAATCAGACATCTCCTCCCAGACACGCTCTTCATTGTTCAGTTTGAGTTTTAGTCACAGAGAGTCTTTACAGGAAACTGTACAGTAGGTCTGAAGCGGTTATAAAGTGTTAAGCCCTTAAAAGCTACACAAGAGAAATCAATGGTTCATTTGATGATTACACAAAAAGAGAGGGTGTGCGAGAGGAGAGAGAGGAACAGGGAAAACTGAGAACAGCAAACTTGGAGATCTTTGAGCCAGTGCTAAGAGAATCCAAGAAATACAAAGAGCAGGCTGATTAAAAGAGATTCGGCTATGAGAACTAGGTAATCTGGACGACTGGGCTTCTATTAGAACATGAAAGAGTGTTTTTCCCATGATACACTGGAAAAGGAGACGCTATTGTAAATGAAGAAGGAGTCAAGATTCTCATTTAGAAGCAAGCGGATGTCTCTGCCCTTTTCAGGCCACTGAGCCATCCCTTGTCTTCTCAGTCGGCAGTTTATGAGTCCAGGGTGTGGGAGGGCACGGCGGGTTCAAGGGGACAGCTGATGAATTATAGATTTGCCTTTGGAAGTGCTTACTCACTGGCCTTTTAAAGAGATGGAACATGATTCAATGCCAATGAGCAGGATGCCACAATTTCATCATATCTGTACTTTTTCGTCAGTTACATTAATCTTGTTAAACTAAACACTTTTAGTCCGACCAGGATGTGAGTGCACAGACGGTCACTTCTGTAGGAAGAGATGTCAAAGCGAACCTGAGAAAGGAAGATCTTTGAGTCATGCTGATAAAAGAAGGAAGCAGTTGCGTCAAAACGTTTTCACCGTGGGTGGAACATAAGTCTGTGACCTTAAGATGTTATTTTAGACCAGAGTAAAGAAATGTTTTCAGTGTATATCTGAGGGCTGCACAGAACCATGACCCTCACAGAGGTTTTCAGACTTGTTTTCAACCAGCTGGCTCCTGCTGAAGCAGGAGGAACTTACCGGAGGCCCTGGAAGCCCTTGTCTGCCGGTGGGTCCTTCATTTCCCTGCCAAACACAAACACAGAGGAATTAAACATAGCTGTGACAAATGCTAATCTTTGGTAAACACAGGCCCATGATAATATAATCCAATGATACTGAAGCTCATTTAAAGATTGAAGATTCCTTTGAAATATATTGTTTCTGTCACTTTTTTTGTATTGACAATAAGAAGCATAAAACTATTTATTATCATCAAAATATTTGTTAAATCGTTTTTGATTGGGGCTTCAGCATGGGACAAAATAGAGATCCATACTGCAGCCATCTAAATTTAATTTCATGCTGCGGTTGCTGTGGCTCAGAGAGAGGGTGGTCCCGGAGGTAAAGAAGGTAGTTGGTTCCATCTCCGGCTCACCACTCCATATTCTGAAGTGTCCTTGGGCAAGACACCAAACCCAAAACTGCCTCTGATGGTGTGCAGGCAGTATTTGAATAGTGTGTGATTAAAAAATAGCTACGTATGGAAGCTAAGTATGAATGTTAATGTGATTTAAACTGTAAAGAGCTTTGAATGGTCGATAAGACAGGAAAATAACTGTCTAAATACAGTCCTTTTAGATTGTGTAGAAACTACACTTGAAGAAAAATCACACACACACACACATAACAGTTAGACATGGTATTTATACTCCCAGTAATGTTTGGCTTTGGGCCATTGTTTTAATCTAAACATCTGAATACACTGTTGACTATATATTGTGTATAAAAAATCTAGACATAAGGAAATATTAAATAAAATAGCAAAAATAATTACAGTGTAACAGAGAAGATTAACACAGAGTTAATTAAAGTGCAAGAGCATATGGTCTGCTGAGCATCAATATATTCTATATGAAATATTTATATATTATTTTTTTAAATAATTTTTTTAGTGGTAACATCTTACTTTATCTCCTTTGATTCCTGATGGGCCCATTGGACCAGGTCTTCCCAACAGCCCCTGCAAACAGAACAGGGTCCTGGTAATGAAATCTGATCTGTTCAATAGAACAAACCCTCATGTGTTGTGATAAAATAGATAACTATAACCATAAAGAGGTAGATTGTGTATAACATCAGCTCTACTTGATGGACATGCTTCTTACCGGGGCCCCTGTACGACCGGTCACACCAGGCAATCCTGGTACTCCTGGAGTCCCCTGGAACAGACAAGGAGGATCATAATTTTTTTAAATAAATTTTGACTCATGAAATAGAATACTTACATAATTTATTTTACAGCTCAAAAGAAAAAAAACAAACAAACAGAGGTAAGAGACATGGTTTTATTAACCCTATAAAATCCAGTGACAGGTTGTGAAGATCTCCTGTCATTACAGTTCAATCCTGGAAGCTGATCAATGAAATGCTTCTCAGCTTCCTCCAAAGTGTGCCTTGCTTTTTAATTGGCACACGTACTCGCACACGTACACACAGAGGGCAGGCTATGCTCTTTATAAAACAGCTCCTCTGAGTGCCACAGATAGGGCACATTGCACAAGCAGCTTCTGTTTCTTCTTCAGCTTCTTTCAAAAGCAAACAGGCTTTATGACAAGGCCGACATTACAATATATTAACATTCTTTTGAATAAACCCACCTCTCAATGTCACGGTGGCTTCATGATTGCCAGATGACGACAGAATAAATTTGTTTGGATAAAACTTTTTCCACTCACCTCATCTCCTTTATCTCCTATCGGGCCTGGGAACCCTCTCTCTCCTTTCACTCCCTGCAGGAACACACAACCAGACAATGTTTCTTACCCGAACATGAAAAGGCCCCAAAAAAAACTAAAGGCTGAAACTTCAAAAGGTCTTCTTTCCTCTCACAGCACATGACTTGAAATTGCCAAGGCTGTTTTCACGGCAGTACAACACCGTATCCATGGCAACAGCTTCTGCACCAAGTGTGCAGAATGATATGAGTTGTAGAACAGCTGGTCAGGCTACCAGAGTTAATCTTAAAGCCAATTTATGAAAAGCATTTGTCAGTGCTAATCTCTAAATACTACATTAAATCACACGTTTCAATAAACAATGTCACAGAATGAGGCTATTAGTTCAACGGATTATTTTGTCATGTGCATGATTCAATTACAATTACTTAAACAATGTGCCTTGTTATATACTATATTGTACTTGCCGAACATGCCTTTGCCTACCTTTGGGCCTTCTTTCCCAGGGTTACCCATAGGACCTCTTATACCTGGATCTCCCTGTTTATTATACAAAATACACAATGAATACACATAGTATTGAATAAGTAACCCCTAAATGATATTATCATGGTCAGATCAACATGTTTACGGTGTCTGTTCCAAGCTGATGAGTTGCTTGTACCTTTTCTCCCACCAAGCCTTCAACTCCTTGCGCTCCGGGGGACCCCTTCTCTCCTTTTTGCCCGGGCAGCCCTGGGACTCTCGTCTGGCAAACACTGCAGGCATTCTGCCACATAGGCGAGGCAGGAAGCAAAACAAAGTGGCACAGATAAGATTTCATCAAGCTCGAGCAGAAGCACCGCATTTTTCGCCCTTTATTATGTCACATCCCCCGGGTGGAGGACGAGACCCCAACTGACACAAAGTGTTCTCTAAATGTCTACAGAGCAGAAATAATGTGAGCCCACCGCGAGTGTCTCTCATCGAGGTGAGTGGTGAACTTTGTCAAACTCATTGACTGTGACATTTAGGTGAGAATCTTAAATATCATTTTCCTTGATCGGGTCTAGATAGAGGAAAGAGGTAGGTGCTCTAAGATGGAGGGAGGTGGTAGACACTGCACCATAAAAAAAAACAGCATTATAGAGTCTGAAATATAAAATGGAAGGTAATCTGTACAGATTTGTCATGAAAATAAGGAGAGTGAGAACATGTTTTTATGGATTTTACAAATGAAAAGAAAAATGCCTCAGTCAAAAGTGTTTTTGTTAGCTGTCAATAAGGTGTTTGAAGTAATAATCAGAGTGTCACTAAGCAACTCTGATGAAAGAGGCTGAGTCCAACAGGGCACTTAAGTTGACGCCAAAGGAAGCAGAAAATTACAAGACTCCTGCCGTCTTGCTTCTGTCTATCAATGACATTTACAAAGAATTGTCACAAGTTGATATACATTTCTTTTTAAATATTACATAAAGATACAAAGCTGTCCTTCAGGTATCAACACCATGTAAGATGACTAATCAGCTCCAGACAAAAGAAAGGGAGAGAAGTAATCAGTACTGAAAAACGGTTTTGATAAGATAGGCATTTTATAAAGGTTACTGGCACAAGAGAAGCACTCAATCACCTTTTCAACTCTCTACTCCCCCGTAAGAAAAGCTGAAAAGTGTTTTACATTAGGTTGGGTTCTGGAGTGTCAGCGCAAAGTTTGCATTTTGGTCCGAAAATGGGCTTTTTGTCATGAGTAAAAACATTAGGTGCAATATCCTTCATGTATTATGCTCATGTTGAAATCACAATATATATATATATATATATATATATATATATATAAATAATAAGTAGAAAAGTCCTCCTGTAAACTATAAATGTAGGTTTGGGTGCGGGAGAGATGAATTATTATTGGCAGCAATTTAAATCTTCCAAAATCTTAAAGCTATTCTTTATCCACACTAAGGATGAGGATCGCTGTGAAGTTAACTACTAAGAAATTCTGTGTGAGGTCAGAGGAAACTACAATAGTTGGCATATCCACAGAGAGCTAATCTATGGATACAGTTAAATCAGCATTCAGGTGTTTTGGGCTGAATATCTACATTGCTCTGGTATTATATTTTGATGTTTTATCATCATCTAAAAAAAATTATTACAAATGTTGCCGTGAAGTGTGGTTTGACTGTAATGAATGTATAATTTGAATCTCTTCTCTATAAATAATTCGTCCACTCGCCCTGATGAAAGCACTCAAGGGCTTTTTCAACTTCTCTATACTAACACCATCCACATTAAAAAAGTACCTTTACAAATGAATAAAAAACTGATAATTATAAAGATTCTAAACCAGAAAGTCCTCTGCACGTTATTTTGGTAAGAAAACTGCAATTATCATTAACTTTGAAGTACCTTAAGTAAAGTTCCCATGTCTCCAACGATTGGCAGAGCAGTCTGTCAAAGAGAATACAAATATCAGTGAAACATCACCACACTATTGTTTTCAGGGCTAACAAGTCATTGATGTGTTTGATATATTCTGCTGCTGTTTGTCTGTGGAAGCTGCCTTTTTCAAAACATGAATTTATAAAAATAATCATCTCTGCCTTTAAGAAGTGTGTTTTTACTCCAAACATTTTTCAACAAATCTTTTTTTGTCATTTTAATTTTCAGTATTTTAATGTGCAACGCTTGACGAGACAGTATAATAACTTTGTTGCTAGACAACAGAGTCCACGCATCTTAAAAATAGTGTTGTTTTGAGATGAGAAAAAATTTAAAAGCCTGTTTATAATAAAAAACAAAGTTGAGTATAAATGGTTATCATAGTTTTTCACAACACATAAATGTAAGGAGGTGAAATTTAGTGGGTGCAGCAACAGCAGCATTTGTATGACGCTCACACTAGAGCGATTTGAACTTTAGTACATGTTGTTTACCTGAGATATAAAAAGACAAAAATATATTAAAAATAAACAATAAAAGCAGTCTTGGGATGGAACATAGTACATTTACGTTGTTACAATACTACTATATATATATACTATATATATGTGTGTACTTTACTTAAGTTGATTTATTGTCAGGTACTTTTCACTTTTACCCCACCACATATACCACAAATATCTGTACTTTCTATACCAACCCATTTTAACAATGCATTGAAATGCAATGGGCGGGGTATTGGTCCACTGATCCAATCAGAGCAGGCAGGTAACATTAGACCCCGCCCCCCATAAATAAGCCATAATGATGTAGTTGACGGTTTCTTTATGGAATATATGCTCCACTCTGCATTTACTTTTAATACTTGCAAGTATATTTAAAAGTAAGTACTTATTTATTCCTACTCAAGAAGAAATAATTATGTAGTATTTTAATTTTACTTTAAATTTTACTTTTTTACTTAAAATTTTGTTTATTTCTTTGTATTTTTATTTTGAGTACTTCCTCCACCACAGGAAGCTATCGGTTTGTTGTAATTGCAAACATTTCTCGAAACTGATGGCTAGTGAAGGAACTGGCTGGTAATTATGGTGAACTCAGAGGTTCCAATTGTAGAACTGATGCAGAACTGTAGAATTAGATTTCTCACTTACTGGTTCACCTGGGGGGCCAGCAGGGCCTGGGGGGCCTGGTCGACCAGGGGAGCCCTTTAATTGATATAAAGAAAAGAGTTAGGAATCCCCCCCCTGGCTATGATGTCAAGCACACATACAAGGCTATAACTTTATTTTCACACTCTGTGCAGCAGATGGGCATTTGTATCCAGGGTCTGTGATACATCATGCTCGTTGATGCTCACAGTGGGAAGCTGACTCTCCTTTATGCTTCCAGTCATATTTTAACTGCAGATGTGTGAGTGAGTGAATAAATTTGGAGGGACATACTGATCTCACTCACCTCTCTTCCTGTTGCTCCAGGGGGGCCTGATAAACCTGGGGATCCACGAGGGCCCTGGAATAAACAAACAAACCCCCACACACTAATAATTTAACAAAACTTGCTTTGTGCACTTGGCGAACAACCAACAACCACAGGGTGTTATTTGTATCATAAAACTAATTACAGCATCAATGAGCTGCTAATAATCAGTGAAAATAAACTTGAACATGTTTGTTTGTGGATTCAGTGTATTTTCCTGCAGACCTCAATTCCCGGCTTTCCCGAGGGTCCCACGGGGCCCTATGAACACACACAGCACATCTTGTTAACACCATCTGCCCTCTAGTACCCAGGATCCAATAAAGGAATTGTGTTAGACACCTTTAGTTCTATTGATCCTCTGTCTCCCACAATCCAGTATTTCAAAAATGAAAGAAGAGACTCACTCACAATCTAATCCGCAGGGTTCAAACTAGCAGTGTGGAGCATATATGATGAAGGCAGAATGCACTATGCCTGCACTTCATGGTAATGACCAGCATTTTCATCTTAGGGTGCATTTAATGAACACTGATCTTGATATTCAAAGAGGATTTCACTCTTTTAACGCCTAAAGACACGAGAACGTATCATAGTTCAACTAAATAATGAATGTGGGAGACACAGGCCAATCAATACGACATCATACTCACAGAAGGACCCATGACACTCTCTCCAGGTTCGCCTTTTTCACCGTGTTCTCCTGGCAACCCTGGGACTCCTCTCTCACCCTGACAGAAAAACATGTAAAAGCACCTTCAGTGGGTTTTCTGTGTTAGTGAATTCAGAAATCATGAAGAACTGCTGCACTGCGTGATCATTAGCTATTCACACTCGGCTGGAACTCATTTTCCCCTTTATGTTTTGCAGTTTGTAGCTTCAAGGCTAAGAAACAAAACCATGTTTAAGGCAAATGGTATGCACATGTTCATTATCCATTTCATTTGAACTCGTGCATGTGCTGCAATAGTATAGTACATTCTGTTTTTTCACTTTGGTTGGGGCATCCTGCATTATTTTCTAAACCTGCTTCAAAACTCATGATAACTCATAATATCATCAGGAATGTTTTAAAGGTATTTCCTACACCAGTAGCCACAGTGTGTTCAGTGCAGTCATATCATACTGCCTCATCGGTCTGTATATTGGGACGGACATGAAGTGGGGAGATATTGTTCCACTCAGCCACAGAGCTACATATACTGTATGTCTGTGTAAAAGGGCGAGCTGGTATAATTGGACATGACATCTCTGATTCTAGAGAACTGCTTGCTAAAATCATTCACTGGAGCAGAATTATGCTGTCGAGTTCAGTGTGAACAAGCAGGAACTGGCATAAGTGGTGGGGGGGCAATATAATGGGATCCCTGTATAAAAATGCTGGTGACCCTTGTACCCCAGGGAACATAAGTGGAAAGGTTGCAGAGTAGTTAGTAATTAATTTGACTTTCAGTTTGTGTTGGAAACAAGAGCGTGAAACTAGTCAGCCAGGTCTCAACAGGTTGCTAACAGCAACAGATAAATGATGCCACAGGTTGTGAAGAAAGTTAAAGAACTTAGCTGAAAAAAATCGATGAGCAATTTAACAAATGCTTCAGAGTGAGGTTAAAACAGTCGGCGTCAGTCACTTCGTGTATCTCAAATACTAAGTTAATCACTTCAACAGTGACAGTTCAGAAGTATAAAAATATTGTCATTGGCTAGTATCCACTTTAATTTAATTGATAGTGTTGAATAACATCCACTTTAAAATCCAATCAAATGGTGGTTGGTGTTGATGACAGATTGCTTGTGTTCATGTGGGGGTCAGTCCACCAAAAAATACTGTGAACCATTCAATTATATAGTACCTGAATATGAAAGTAGCTTATGAAAGAACAGCAGCAAACATATCAATGATCCTAAGATGTCGACATATATACAGTTGTGTTTCTGCCTTTGCTTTTGAGCTTTGTAACGACTTTTGATTCATCTCTTTACAGGCTGATTTCTTTATGGATCTTCTGTTGTCCTTATGCCTTGTTCTTTTACTTGTATTTGGTTTTTGGATTTGTGTCTCTGTCGTTGGCTCCTTGAGTGAAGATTTTTGTTTTTGTTTTCAGACTCTCAGCTATTTTCTGTTTTATTTTGTTTCCTGCCCTTCTGTTTTATTTTAGTGCACTTCACTTCCTGTCTTTGTCTGATTTCCCTCCTTCAATGATTCTCTGCCACAGTCTGATTAGTTTTACCTGTGTCTTGTTAACTGCTGTGTTTGTCTTGTCAGTTTACTGTCAGAGTTCCAGCATTTTCCTCAGGGCGCCTTACATACAGAGTTTTTGGATGCCTCTGCCTTTCCTGACTGCTTTTCCATGTACTGAATCTTATTTGTCTTGTTTTTTATTTCCTGTCCTTTGAGTGAACCATCTGTTTTGGGGTTTTCACCTTGGGTAACATACAGTATATTCCAGATTTATGTTGACATATATAAAAGATGGTTGTGTTAGTGATGCTCCACCACCACAGTGATTCCTACCTTGGGTCCGCGAGACCCTCTGGTTAGAGGCAACCCATCACCCTAGAAAACAACAGGAAGAAGACATCAGGGATTCACTGGAGATTCATCAGCAATTCACTTTGAGGCCCGAGGTGCAGAACAAAAAATAAACTGTTGTAGTGGTGGATTTTAAAGAGGAATATTGAAATATATGAGCGGAACTCCACAGTGCAAACAGTCTGAATGCAGCGCTGCATCATGAGCTCATGTTCAATACTGTTTACAGCATTTTTAGCAGCGTCTACGTACAGAGGCATCCTGATAATGCCATACCACAGAGAAAAACCTTGATTGCAACCGAGGCTACTGTAAGCATAATTTACCGTACATTCCAGATGAGACATTGATTTCTACTCTCAGCATCTATTAGTGTTACAAGTCCAACATTGCACAATGTAAATTAGCTGTGCAGAAGTTAGATTTGAGCTAACGCTGCAGTTCTATAGTTTTAGGGAGAACTGTGGTAATGCACTCAAATGTAAAACAGAAGAAAGTTTGGAAAGCACAGAACTTTTTGAGGCTAATGTAATCATATAACTGCATTTTCTTTTTTAAAAACAAATTGTTCCATTACACATTATGCACTGGCACTTTACTGAAAATAAAAAGACTTAATATCACTACTTCAGAGTATTGGGAGATCCATGCTAATAATAAAAGTCAAATGAAAGAAGTGTAAATTGCTCATTATTCATTTAAAGGTAAAATCAATAAAGTGACATTAACTACCCGAGGAGGCTGACTCATTAAAGCCACTGCGACCATCTGCATTCAGCTCCTGTTTATTGCTTTTTTCTCTTTTCTTCGTCTTATATAACATAAACCATAAAAATGTGGAGAGTCCACTTTTCTCCAGTGACCCCAGACAGAACTGACATTTTTAAAAGACTATGTGGATCAATGCAGAAGAACCTTCCTGCTAAACGCTAGACACCTCTCTTTGTTTGGAGTTTGAAATATGTAACAACATAAGAGATCATTGACCTGCTGTAAACATGTCATGTGGCCCAATTTGCCAATCCTCAACCAGGTTCCACAGTGCTCGAGTACATTAAAGAGGTTTAAATACTTCTGCCTAGACGCAATCTTTCCCGCATTACTCAGCTCAGCTGAACACAGTGCCACTTGCTTGATGAGTAGGTCTACTGTGGGGCTTAATGTTCAGTTCAGCGTTTCCTCACACACACACAAACACAAGCGTATCCACACACACACACAAACAAACATGATTGTTTAAAGCCGGTGAACGCTTGCCGGTGATTGAGGAGCGCAAGTGGCGCCAAGCAGAACTGGGGCCTTGGCTGCACACAAGCAGCCAAGAAGCTGTAATGAACATGTCTATATGCAAAGCCATGTCCATAAAAGAGAGTGCTTCAACAGCTATAAGCTCCAAAATGGGAAGATAGGTGATTACCCAGACTGGGGTTATCCAATGGTGGATTACTTAATGGTATTGCATCCCCATAATGTCATGGCAGCTACACAGCTGGAAGAGTAGAGGCCAGTTTCCTTTAACTTGTCTGATACTGCTCCAGCTGTTTGCAGATGAGTTTTGCTTTGTGAATTTGTGTTGAATTTTCTTCAGTTGTTTTTCACTGTGTCATTCTGTGACTCGAGGGCTGAAATCAACACAGTCAGGTGAAAGTGACTGTCAACATTTGATAGAGTACCCACCGTATAGCCGCCACCGGGTTCTCCAGGCTCACCCTTGGGACCTGGAGGTCCCTGTGGCACCATCACTCCACCAGAGTCCCCCTGCAGACAGAGACAGACAGTTTTCATAATTTTCTCCATAGGTAAAAAGTCAGACTGGCTTTGTCATGTCATCTGCATGGACCCTTCAAGTCTGAAAGTTGGTAAGCAGAGACAGTTGTGTCTGCTTTTTTGCTCCTCAGATATTCCTTGTGATTATATTGTCATGTGTACACTTTCCAATAAGGTTCCTGGTTCGAGTCCCGGATCATCCAGGGTCTTTCTGTGTGGAGTTTGTATGTTCTCCCTGTGTCTGCGTGTGTTCGCTACAGGTACTCAGGCTTCCTCCCACAGTCCAAAATAAAAACAGTTAAGGGTTACGTTTATTGGCTCTGAATTGACTATTGATGTGAATGTGAGCATGAATGGTGTTATGTTGGCCCTGTGATATTCTGCCATAACGGATGGATGATTGGACACTAAAACTTTACACTTTTAGTGCTGTTCTTTTTTAGCCATGCTATGGCTCTATGGATGGAATTGTAAGCCGGTGGGTCCACCTTTATGAACTAGACAGAAAAAACCTACTGGATTGATTCCCGTGAATTTTTTAGGATAAATCCTACTGATCTTGATGATCAATGACGATTTATGTGTTTATGGCCTGCAAAGCTCATTATATTCCCACCAGCCTCTACAGCTAATAAGAAACTGTTAAGTGAAACATGTCTTTATTCGTTTTTATTTTGAAATATTTGCATTTTCAAGGCAAACCTCCAATCATAATGGAGCTTGCAGTAGATGCTCCACTTCTGAACCATGTCTGGTGTGCCTTGAGCGTTAGTCTTCTAATACCATCTTTGTTTTGTTTTATACTTAAAGAATAACACTACTAGTTAGCAATATTAGCAGCTAGTCCCACTTTTTCCACATTTATTCACATTATATTGTGTGGTTTTGTAAAACACTATAGTTTAGTGTTAATGCACTTGGAGCTAGGCTAGCTGCTTCCCCTGCATCTAATCTTGCTAAACTGAACAGTTCTGTCTCCAGTGCCCAGACATTTCCCGCTCACATTTATTGATAGATTACCACATGAATGTAGAACCAGAACTGCCTTTTGGATCGGAGTTAACGTCGGTGTAGAGAAGAAGACAAAACTGGATTACAAATGTGAATGGATGAAGGAGGTGAAGGCACTCAGCCGAGTGACTCCAGTGGGAAGGATTACTAAAGTGACGAACCCAATCAAACATGCATGTCAAATATGCACTTTTCAACTCTCCCACTTTCTGCACAGCATTTGGAACCACTCCGACTGCAAAAATAAATGTGTGTATGGATAGCTGAGGAGTCAGAGGCACCAAATGTGAAACACACAGTTAGAACATGATTGAGGACGGCATGCAGGGCGAGTAATCTGCAGTGTGTCTCCACAAGTTGTCTAGCATGTTCAACCTGTGATAAAACATCACAGCTTCATATTTTTCTTTGAGGTGAGAACTTGATTTGAAGTTTACCTACCTTTTCTCCTTTCAGGCCATCTCTCCCAGGCACCCCCGGCTCCCCTGACGAGCCCTGTAAATAGTGGCGAAAAGAGACACATCTATCACCAGGCCTTCATCTCCTCACACATTTATCTCCTCCTCCTCACTGCTTCAGCGGGCTGCCGTGTTCCAACATAATTTCCCTTAGCCAGGATTTATGAAATGCCTCTTTTCCCTCCCTGCTTTTGAATAAAGACAGATGCTCATTACTGAAGCAGGTGTGGAGAGCAGATTGGGCCTCTGCCTCCGTTCCTGGCATAAAGCGCTTAGATTTGCCTCTTTCCACTAATTAATTCTTAAATTTGATTACTGATCGTCTGTGTAAAAATTCTGGACTTTTCTCCCGACTTCCTCTCCGTCTCTGCCTGTGGAGGTTTATCTGTTTATCTCTCTCTTTCATCCTGGCAGGCTGAGTTTGAGAGTCCAGGATGGCAATGTGACAGATAAGGCAACGAGAGAAAGGACGGCTTGACATGAAGTGCTGGTATCTAGTGCCAATATACTTACTGGCTCGCCTGGGAGTCCTGGGAGTCCAGTGGGTCCAGGCAGGCCCTGTTTCCCCTGGCAAAACACAAAGGAAAACCAACACTGAGCTATTTTCTCCATTTGTTTGGAGACAGAATTGTCTGGGCTTTGACGCCAGCGACTCTGTTGATGCTGAAACCGTATTTCAAATAGCTCTGTTGTCTAAGTGTTGCCCCTGCAGCTTTAAGCCATGATTAGTTTCATATTAGTTTCTGGGGATATCTTCATGACTGAGCAGCGGTAGATTTGTAAGATATGCTGTTGTATTCTAAATAAGCAGTTTATACGCCTTCACCTTCTTGGCTCATTTTTGTCTTTACACATGGATGAACTGTACAATTCATACATTATAATGGAAACAGAGCTTATGTCAAAAATAACTTACAAAAGCAGAACACTTACATCACAATAAGAGTTTTTATGTTTATACCACTTTTCATGACTGATTGAAGTGTAATACCATCTTAACTTCTATTCTCATTCTAGCTACTTTAGGACAGTAGCATATGTAGGTACATACATATCAATAGATGTAAATATGGTGTCTTGTAACCGCCTTGCATCTATCTATCTGTCAACCATTAACCCATCTGCATATTGGAGATGGATCGAAGTTTGCATTCTCCTGAAAAGTATCCTGTTATCCAATTATATTATAATTATTACCATGGAAACTGAGAAGCAACTGAAGAATTGGTAATCCTGTAAATATAGTGAGATTTTTACTCCTCAGTATTTTAGTTAAAATTAGCCTGAAACAGCTTGTACGCTCTCACATGTGTGGTATTGTCTCATTGTTGTTTATATTCAGGAGACATCTCCGTTTGACCTACTGTAAGTGGCACGGCACCTCAGACATGAGATGAATACAGAGACTCACCTCTGGTCCTTGATCTCCTTTTAGTCCTGGCGGCCCTATGTTTCCCTTTTACAGTCCAATAAAAGGGTGAGAAAGATGTAAAGAATCATTACTTTTTAAACAATTTTTGACTTTACCACAAAGACACCTCTCACAAATATATAATATAATAATCTCTGCCATGTTACAGAGCCACTGTCTATCCCAGGAATTACTGCATGTCACAGATGGAATCCTCTCCAGCTTTGATCAACAATCTATATACTCCATTCTAAAATGCTATGAATCCTGCTGTGCAGACACTTGGAAGGCTATATATAGTAGTACATAAAGATTTTGGAACTCTATTTTATTGGCAGTCCTCAAGTTTTTGTGCAAGTGCTACATCTTCAACAAGTTACCTTGAAGCCTTGCAGTCCTTGTGTTCCTCGCTCCCCCTGCAGAAAGTAAAGGAGACAGACAAACACCATTTTTTAAGATGTGCATGAAGAAAAGAGCGAAGTAAGCCATTCCTTCTTCTTGACTGGAGTTGGAAAAAAAAATCATCAAGGACCTTTGTAAAGTTAGCTTTCATATTGTGTGAAGTTTGAGAACACAGTATATTTCCTTTGCCAAGTTCCCTCCTTTGTTCAGAGAATGTGCATAAAATCAAAAGCAGCATCTTTTCAAAATAAAACAACAAAATCACCTGACATCATGACAGTGTTTCTGCTCTTGCCTTCCTTCTGAAATCTCTACACGTCAATTATTTTTCATGTTCATGTAGTTGTTTGATGTTTGGTTAATAGCTGCATCAGTGGTCATTGTAATCTGCTTTGCTTCAAGTAGATCCATCTGTTGTTTTGAGGTCCGAAAAACTACTGTGCACCAATTTATTCTGTGCCTCACCCCTGCAGAGCACAAAGACAAGACCCAACACCACATCTGAACAGCAAGAGATCTTCAATTATTCTGTATGAATCAATGGTAAGTGCTTCTTTTGTTAATGTTATGTAGAAAATGGGAGGTATTCTTCACACTGTGGTGTCAAATGTTGAATGCTGTGTTTGAAACTAATGCTCGGTTTCCTGGGGTTGTATTGTCTTTACTGAGCAATAATAATGAGAGAAATAGTCACCTGGTCGCCCTTTTCTCCCTTGTGGCTCCGCTCCTTCATTTCATCCTTTAAAAACACAAGAGAAAAGAGACGGCTTAAAAATCTGACCGGAGATAACCTTGTGCACAATTTGAACCAGAGATGTTATGGTAGAAACGGCTGCTTACAGATCCAGAGAGGTGTCTTAATCCATGAGCTGTCATCACCTTAAAGTAATGAAAAAGAGTGTTCTCTGAAAAGTCTTGTCTAGCAATTACTGAAAGCAACAATCACATAGGTGAAAATACTTCTGAACTGTTAATTATTTTAAAAGACAAAATAGAAGAAATGACTTCTTTATAAATTTGTCCCAATCTTACTCTTTACCAGCCTGAACCTATGTTTCACTCAATATATAATATTTTCAAATCTATTTTATAACAATCATGTGTACATCATGTTTTACCTCCTAACAAACACGGCCTTGGCTTTTTTTCAGCAGAATAATAACAGAAGAAAGAATGTGAAGGAGATGAAAGCCTTGTCCACGACCGGGACATTTTTGTGCCCCCTAAGCACTTACGTTTTGGAAGGATGTGAGCCTCTGATTTGTTTTTTGTTTTTTTCATTTAAGGGATATTTTAGTACAACGTTGTCCTCATCTCCTAATAAAACTGTCCTGAAGAGAAAATACAGTAAATGAAAACAAAAAAAAAACAACTTTTGAAGTAGCTTTTCTGCTGAAAACTGTGACCGCTCCATCAACTCAACCATGTGTCTATTATTGTAACCATGAGGGTAATGTTCTGCAGCTGCTGTTACACGCTGCATGCCTGGCCTGATAACCGTGATGATGATGGTGCTGTGCTGTTGGGGGACAAACGATCTATATGGTCATTCAGGAAGGAGGACTTGTTGGTCCTGTCTCTTGCACGCCTCTGATTTGACTGTGTTACTGTAATTAGGTGCAGTGCAAATCAACTTGTCATGAAGCACTCTTCCTTTCCTGAATCCCAGACAGTCCCAGTGGAGTGTCTACATAATCAGTAAACGGTCAACCTGCAGTCACACACAAAAGCAGCTGCTGTCAACTGCCTCGCTTTGGACGCTGAACAATATCCGTGCCATCAGTACGTGACCCGAAGAGAAATTTCCACCAGAATTTTTCCCAAGAGCGGCGAAATACTGCATGGAGCCATTTACCAAACATAATTTGGCATATGAGATTTGGTTTAATAGATAATAAAACTGTATTGTGAGGCAATACTGGTTGCAATAAAAGCACGACAGTCTCTGAGCTAAAATGACTATTTTGCTACGTTAAGGGTGTTGGAGGAAACGGTGGCCGAGCACGCCTGTAAGCCGGCCGCTCCTCCCCATCGCTAATAAACAGAGGCACAAGAAGGTTTATGAAGGGAGGGTAATGATCTGAACCCGCGCTTCTGCTGTGTAAGGGAAATCAATGCTTAACTGCCAAAATTATCTGCCACAGGAAAGCACAGAGCACAGACAGAGACTGCTACTAAATATTCAAACAGCCTCATTTATCAAATGACTAATGTTTCCCCTCCACTGTGTGCTATAGCACACATCTCCCATGCCCTGGGTGGCCCACACCTCACTACACAACAATGAACACAACTGAGAGAGTTTCAGTTTTCATGGAGCTTTTTCTTCGTCTTCCTCCTCCAGCTCATATTAAAATTACAGAAAAGTGACAATCATTTAAAAAATAATTGCAAGCAGGCGTCACTGTTTTGAGCCACCATTAAAACAGCACATATTGATAACTATTCTTATGAACGTTATCTTTCTTTGTTGATTTCGACGGAAACAAGTGAAACCATTGGAGAGAGAGATATCTGTTCTCTGAATAATTAAGTTGTCTAATTTCCATTTGAATCACCTGCTAACAAGCAACGGAAATTAAGAAGAAGAAAACCATCGAACTTTGTTTCCAAGCTCATGTCTGGAGCCTTCAGAGGCTCAAAAGGGACAATTAGCACAAAAACCCATCAGGACAGACTCATCTAAATGTCAAATCCCCTGTCTTTGTGCAATTGGGTTCAGACACCATGTTTTTACATTTGACACTTTTCGTTCTTAGGTTTTTTTAAAAGGCTGCTCATTTGTGGCATGTTGCTGGAGACATTACAGAACATTAAGTGATTTGTTTAAAAAAGTCTGAGCAATGAGCTCCATTATCCTCAACTCAACTGTGTCACCTGCAGTATCCATTAAACGTCCCCATGACACCAGGGCTTCTCTGATTTTATCAGCTCCCTCACTACAGCTGCACCAGTGTCTTCCAACCAAAATCCTCCTTCTATAATTTACCATCGTGAAACATTATAAACAGGTCATGTGCTGCACCGTCTCCATTAATTTTCACACCAAAGACTTTGTTTTGGTTCTAGCTGAAGATTACAGCGTCAGTGGGCGGCTGGTGCAAATGTGTTAACTTGATAGTAGGAAATCACTTCACAGATTTCAATGCCTGTGTGAGCTATTCTGTTAACATTTCTCTGCAGAGTACATTACTGGGGGAAAAAAAAATCACTTACTGGGTTGTGCTGCCAAATATAAGCCAGTTTATTACCTAAACAAAATATGGAAGCTCTTCCCTGGAGTAATTCAAAGCAACTAATCTCAACTGCCTTGAAAAGTCTGCCCGTGTTTTCAGCTCTTTATCAAAACTGATCCACTATTTGTACCGAAAACAATATATATTTCTTTTTTAAACTTAAAAATAGGACAAATGTATAGACCTGTCAAGAAAATTGGTTACAAGATGATGCCAAAATATTGGTGGTTTGACAGCAGAGGTAAACATTGCACTGCTGCTGCTTTTTTTGCTTCCTGGTCTCAAGTGTTTCAAAGTCAGACATGAATATATTACTGATTCACAGAAACTCGATACTTTCTTAGATTTGCTGCAAAGAACCTAACACTGATGTTGTAGTAATACGTTATTACTCAATCTTATAGTGAGTGACAATGAGCAGTATTCTGGAGGGTGACCAGTGTGTTGTACTCACAGGACCGGGAGGACCAGGAGGGCCAATATCACCCTGCAAATTACAATAGAGACACGCAATCAATTATTACGCACAAGTGCCAGGAAAAAAAAAAGGACCACACAGCTAAAAAAATGCACTTTGGACACATGACCTTCAACAGCTATATCAACAGGTTCAGGAGCAACAATAAAGGAGCAGAACAGACAAAATACTGTCCATCTCAAGAGATAGGAGAGGAACCATGAGAGGAGTGGAAACAAAACATTAAAGAATTCATGCTGGAGAGCAATAGTGCGCAGTAGTCACAAATGTTGCTGTACTTACTGTGTATATGTGTCTTTATACACAAATAACCCTTTGTATTGTGTGTACTGGGTGCTTCAGGGAAGGTTTTCCAACAACTGAAAAGATCTCCAGGTATACATGCTGTACTTTAACAAGCCTACACAATCCTGTAATAATGAAATTACAATAAAATTGAGCGCATTTAAAAGATTTTTGTCCCCATCTGTATCGAGTTGCACATAATGAGGGACATAGCATACTTAAATCCTGGGAGAATAAGGATTTAATTAAACAAACTGCACATCTCCAATAACACTATATGATAAAAACTATATGCTTTATTCTATATTACTTTTTGGCTGCTCTTCAGTTAATTATGTGACTTTTCAAGATCAAATTATCATAAACACTTGATATAGCTTCATTCTATGTCAAATCACTACACTTTTGGACTGTGCTGTCGCAGATATTAATGACATTTGAAGTGTTGATTTGGTCACATGAGAAATCTATGGAACCAAAATGAAATGCATCTCTGATTGCAATTTTTGGGTGATATGGGCAAACAAATTAAGAATGTTTTGGGGGGACACTTTTTGTGACTATGACATATCTTTAGGTAAGAGAAATAGTTGTCATATTGTTTTAAAGTTCTTTTCCAGCTCCATATTTATCTTTACAGTGTAACAGCAAATTGATGGATCATAACAGCAAGGGTTAAGGTCAGGGTTACACAGAATGACCGTATACAACACATGATCACACACAGGTCTTGATGTTGGTCAGTCTGTTACGTGTTGATGGATTTGTACAGACATTCATGGTTCCCAGAGGATGAGTCCTACTGACTTTGGTGATCTCATCATTTTTCTTCTTGCACTAGACTGAAGTTGACCTCCCTGGAGCCTTAGGATTCATCACCTGGGTGCCATGTATATTAGTGAAAGTGCATTGTAACCACATGCTGGTGCTGACAGCAGATAACAATGGCAATCTCCCTAGACACGTGCCCATTTCCTATAGATTTTACTGAAATCACTTTTACAATATGGTGTTCTGTGAAGTAAAAGATAGACGGACAAACGGAAGGTAATTATGTAAAAGAGATAAGGGCAAAAGTGAAAACCTTATTCTCCGTTGTGTGTCTATCACAGTGGGAAATCCTCTACAAAGTATCACACAGTGCAGCAATGATATCTCACAGTGCACGCCAAGACAAACTGATAGCAAGAAAATCATTCAAATCAAGGTTGGATGAGCAAAGAATACAAACCATGGCAAAAACAAGAAATAACGACCTGCAGATTCATTATTTGCTGCTCAATGATATCTAAGACTGTCGGAGGACAAACAGACAGAGAGGATAATAACTCCGAAGGTTTAGCCTCTGAAATCTGGTATATTATACCACTCATATCCTTTAAACCTCCTCCTTAAACACCCAGCCACCCATACACACACACACATGCATGCTGAGTCTCAGGGAGCACAAACAGAGGGAATCATCATCTCTGACACTTGACATTGATGGGACTTACTTTTTGTCCTTTCATTCCGCCGGCACCCTCTGCACCTGGATGACCCTGTGGGAGGAGGCCTTGGTTAATGACTCTCTAACACGACGGCATTGTAAATGTCACAGCGGGAAAATACGTACAGGGTCTCCTCTCTCCCCTTTGTCTGGCGAGACTCCAGACTCACCCTTCTCCCCCTGCGTGCAAAACGGAGCAGATCATTGACAGTGAGTGACAGCAGAGACAGGGCAAGAAGACAGAAAGCTCAGGGAGTGAAACTTAAGTGAGGGCAAAGTTATAAGTCATCAGAAAAACTCAACAGTAGTGTGTCACCTCAAAATGTAAATTGTTTGAAATTATGAAAGAAAGAGAAAAAGAAACATGATGATTGGATTCTTGGTGGGGGCTTTGTGGGACTGTAGTCTGGCAGGATAATGAAAAAACAAGTCCCTGTTGCATTGCAGCACTTTTCCACATCTCCATGGTACATAGAATTCCCCTATCTGCCAGTAGATGGCACTTTATGACTGCTGCTTAGCTTCCCTCAGAATATTTTTTACCAGGACTGCTTCCTGTCAGTTATGTGGAGAATACTTTAAGTAAACACAACTGTTTAATAAATGCGCTTGCACCTCGGTCAAGAAAACCAAAGAAGGAATAATTTTCCAAATGTGTGATAGAACTTTTTTTTTACCCACATACCGTGCACTCACTTCACTTTCTTGAGGTCTCTGTAGAAAATACATCATCCTGTGTACATTTCCAACCTTTCCATGACCTACTGTGCTTTACAGTCTTACTGTTACACAGGGTCTTGTGCTATAGATACAATAAGATGGCATTACCAGCCATTACCAGCCCCTCTGGAGGAGGAGAAATCCATTGCGTTTGGCACAACCGGACAAAAGAAGTAAAGATTTGTTGTAAACACTTCAGATATTCTATGTTAAGATATGATGACGCATCTGTTTACCTTCTCTCTGAGTTAAAAGATATCTGCAGCATATTTTGAACACTCAGTGGCACCTGGATTCTGATGGACAATAATTGCCATTCGGTTTCAGCCCCCTCCCCCATTCCTTCGACTGGCCAACAACAGCCGCCGTGATACCAATCACGTAATGAGATACAGCTGCTATTTCCTTGTCTAAATTATGAGCTGTTATTAAGTCGCAGACCGCTGGCATGTATGAACGGATGGAGTGTCCTATTAATAATTTAGGCAGGGAGGAGGGACTTGTGGCGAAATTGACTTTGAGTGCTAATTAAATTCTGCACAGCTTTATCAACCACATGGGAGCTCATAAACTTAATAGAAAATCAACTCCATGATTGTTGTATTGTGTCTTTTTCCCCTAACAAAAAAGGCCAATTACAGTACAGAACAAGTGTAAACTATACAGTTTACAGAAAGTGCTTTAGTTTTCCACCGATTTACGACATTCAATCTAAAGGACATCTGATGGAAGGGTTGTATTAGCCTCGGAGGTCATGTGCTGCACTGTATTCTGGCACAGGCTTATGGAAAGATATATTTGAGAGGTTATCTCTTTTTGAATCCATGGAAGATCATTCAATGTCAATGTTTTTGGCAGAGGGGTGTGTAACAAGTTAATAAACCTCCTAAATAAGATTAACTGCACCACAGCCAATATTTATTCAGATTATCACTGGATTTGCACAATGAGAAAGCGCAGCATGTAAAAGCCAGGGAACAGGTCCACCTGTGGATGTCAGCAGGTGATATGTTGACTTAGAGACACCTCAAGTCATCAAACTGCAATTAAGCTCGTCTCCATCCCTCTTCGTCCATCCATCAATATCTGCAGTGTTCTGTCAGAGCCCGTTTGAGTCTGTCAGTGGGAGATACAGTTATGGAGATGTGATTCATGAGAACGCTATCTTCCCAGCACATCATGCACTGTGCAGACCTCCTTTTTTCTATTTTAAAATATTCACACTATGCTGCAAGAGTGAGAGGGGGCTCAGCTCACACAGATGCTACACAAGCTGCAGTTTAGTCTTAACGTGTGTCTGCTTTGTCAAAGCTAAAAAATGCACAAGGATGGTCAACGAGAAGTGAAGAGAATCCTCTAAGCTGTTCAGTTATTGCTGCTTATAGAAACTTTACATTCATCTTGGGGCTGTGATGCTTAAGCTTCTCCCTCTTATCATGTTCCTTTAAAGGCAATGCAAGACTTGTTTCATTACAGCAGATTAGACTGTGGAGTTATTCTCGAGACAGGGCAGTTTTCTAGTCATCCACAGTAAGCATGAATTCATAATGATAAAGTGAAGATGTATCTGTAATGTAAGAGCATGACTGATTCATGGCAAGGGCAAGGCTGGCTTGCATATTTAATGTGGGCATTAGAGTACTGAAACAATGTTTGTTGGCACTTTATTATCTCTCAACTAACATCAGCCTGCCTCGGGTCTTACAGGTCGAGAGAGTGAGATCTCCATGTTTTTGATTTTATATATTTATATATATAAAAGTCTAGGTGTTGTATAAATACTGTTCAGGCATCACAACATTAAATCCACCTAGAATTGCACACAGCCTGTATTCAGAAACAGTACCACAATATGAAGCACCAGAACTTCCATAACTTTGTGACATTACAAAATATAATCACCAGCCATGCTCCAGCACCGGGACACACTGTCCAACTGAAGTTTTTTAATCGTTTCAAACCAAGTCATTTTGTCGCTTAGCATGCAAACTCCAAGACAGAAAATATGTCTACCTAGGTAGATATGTAATTTCAGTCTTCCCAAGAATAGTAATATTAGAGAACAATACGTTTTTAACAGTACCCAAGCATTTTAGTGAACTACCATAACCATCCACCAGGCACTATCCCTACCACTGAAGAGTGGGCCGGCATCAGCTCCTATCCAGCTGATGCTGCCTCTCCAGCTCCGCTGTCTACTCCACCTAATGCTGCTGTGAGCTTCATCCCAGAGGACCCCTGACTCCTGCTCAGGGCTTAAACAAAATCCCTTAATAGCTATTTCAATGTCCCATTACACCTGGTGAACCCTCCTCTTGTGTACCTGCACTGCAGGGCATCCAGCAGAAGGAGCATTTTGACCAAGTTTTCCCTCCACTAGCAGCGGGCCAGGGTTCTCACTCAACTCCTCCAACTCACCTACCTTCCAGGTCAACACCCTGATTTTGGTCTCCTGCCAATTTCACTGCACGTCCACGCAATATGAATAAAGTAGCAGCCCCATCTCTGTCTCAAGGTGTCTCTGTCTGTCTAGAGGCCTTAGAGGACGAGCCGGCTGTCCTGCCAGGACCAGCTGCTGTCAAGCAACAGAGGTCACAGACCCAGGCTTCACTCCACCACCGTAATACAGAGAGAGCAACAGGTCCTGCAACCAACTGAGCTGCTGTCTTCTCCCACAGGTCCCATTAGCAGGTTCTCTCTCCCCCTTAACTCTCATTACTGATGATTTGATCATCAGACATATGAGAGTCAGCAGGGCTCACACACTGATTCCAAGATAATACTATACAAGATATTGCTGATAAAATCCCATCCCAGCATTGCCAGGGTCCTCGTTCATGTCGGTATGAATGACATCAGTCTGAGCTCTTGTTTCAAAGTCTAAGATTTCCAAGATTTCAACCTTAACATCCTCAAGCAGTCCCACACAAAGTTTTGTGTCCAGTCCAACCCCCACGCCCGGTCGTGCCATGGGACGCTTCATGCAGCTGCTCAGCCTAGATACCTGGCTCGCTCCTGCCTGTGACACTGACAGTGTGCACTTTGTTGATAATTTCAACCTCTTTTGGAAAGAGGTCACCTCTTCGGTGCAGCTGGTCTCCGAGCACAGGTGCTTCCCGGCAATTTGGAATTCAGCAACCTTCATCCCTGTTCTTCCGCACACAACTGCTGCCCATCAAAGCCGCATGTCACGTCCAGAGCCGACTTTTTCATCTCACATGATTAACTGTTCATGCTAACCTTCCAAAACATCCACCTCCTGCTAATCATTAGGGAGCTGTCCTCAAGGTTAGATCCCCTCACACGCCTCAGCCATCATTAACACTTTAAACCATTTTACTAACTTACTATTATTAAGCACATTCAGCTGTGTGCAGCAGCTCAGACCAATGGTGCCTGGACCCCTTGGACTTGGCAGTTGTAATCAATGGTCTATCCCCCTTAGGATGGTGCTTTTGAAAACTTTTTATGTTTCTAACCCAAACTTGGCAGAGGTCTTTGGATTGCAGCCCTCTAATTGAACTGTGCCTGACTGATAGTTCTTTTATTTGCACTCCAAGGTCGTCAGTGCATGATGGAGGACTCACTGTGTTTGTTAGGAGCTGATCTCAGAGCTGGACTGTGGGCTCTCTGTGAGTTTCCCCCACTTTGAATTACAGATTCCTAAAGTTGGTCATTTTAATCCGCTTTATTGCATTTTAATCAACCATCCCCCTGGTTTTAACAGTTCTTTAAAATATTTCATTGGACAGGTTTTTATAATCAGGTTGGATAAAGTTATTATGGTGAGTGATTTTAATATTCATGCTGAAGACGTCTCCTGCAGCTCACCAACTGATTTTCTTAATGTCACTGAGTCCTATAATTATATTCAACACATATCTGGTTCCCACATACATTTAAGGACAAACTCTTGCTTTTACACATGGTTCCAATATTGACCAACATTTTTTATGGAGAGCTGCTTGTTACTGACCATAATAGTTTTATTCAACCTGATTAATATTGATTGAATTATCTTGCATGTTAAAATTTGACAGCATCTGACTCAAAACTAGATGTGTCTTCCAATGGCTGGTTTAATATTTTCACTCACATTGCTCTTCTCTTTTGGAAGTGGAAACCCCTTCATTCTTAATGCTAAGGCTTCATTATAAAGATCTTTTAACTGAGCATTATTTAACATGCAAGGGTTTATTACATTTCTTAGTCTTATTTCCACCAGGATGCAAGTCCTGTTAAAACTATGATAACATTGTTACTCCCGCATCCCCTGCCTGTTAGATCCAATGAGGACTTCAGTGATATTCTTTCATTCTTTGTGGAAAACATCTGAAATGTTGTGACAAGCCTTACTCTCTCTTCTACTCGCATTTATTCCAGCCATCAACTTTGGATTCTTTCACATTTCCTCGCAAGACCTCACTGAGCTGGTGGGCAGTATGAAATCTTCCTCCACACCTTCTGATATTTGACCTGTATCTGTGCTCAAGTCTTTTGGTCCACGCTGTCAATAATAAAAAGCTGTTGGCAGATCTTATTTTACATAGGCAGTAGTTCAAACTCTCCTGAAACAAGTAATCCTCAGTCTGTCTGTTCCAAACAACTACAGGCCTGTATCAGAGAAGTTTGTTATTGAAAAAAACATTTTTAGAAACTGCCAAAGAGTTAAACACCATCTTGACCAAACACCTTTGTAGATACATTTTTTTTTCTTATCATATTATTGCACTGTCCTGTGGTGTACCCCAAGGTTACGTCTTGGGTCCGAGTATATTTGCTCAGGTCACATTATGAACAAATTCAGAGGTATATGCTATCCTTTTGCTGAAAACTTTCAGTTGTATGTCTCCCTTAAGCCTGATAACATTTACAAATTATGTTTTGCACTACTCTTGCTGTTAAGGATTGGTTGTCTAAAAACTGCTTCCAGCTTAACACAGATAAGAGGGAGGTTATGATCACTGCTCCAGATAGTATAGCTCCCAGAGCTGCCTATAGCAATATGTCCCTTTCCTCAGCTGCAAATTTTAATTTAAGAAATCTCTGCATTATCTTTGATTAGACTCTACATTTTGAATGCCAAAATGAAATCACTGTCGTCTATGTTTTTGTACAACAGAACTATCAGAAAGCACACTTCTGTTGTATCACCACTAGAGCTAGAGAGGATTATTTGAGATTTTGTGTCCTCCCAGTTGGACTACTGTTGTTCTCTATTCACTTGCCTTGGCATATTTGATAATACGCCATTCAGAAAGCTGCTGCTAGACTGTTGCACCAGATCTGGCAGGAGGAAACACATCAGACATTTTTTGCACTCGCTAAATTTGCTTCCCATTAGGTTTAGGATCCACTTAAGGTACTTGTCCTCACCAAGCCTTTCATTGTCAGACATCTGAAAACATCTGTGACCTTCTCCATCCCTATACCACCAATAGGTCTTCTGGCCAGGGCCCACAGGCTGCCCTGTGCACTAGACTAAAAACAAAAAGGTAATCATGCCTTTGAAGCAGTTGCTCCATTCTCTATAACCTTTTAAAAAGCAGCTGAAGACCCATCTGTACAAATTGACCTTTGTCTCAACCTAAGACGTCTTGTAGACGAGTTTCTTTTAGGGCCTTTGGTTACTTATGTTGTTAGTCTGTTTTTATGAGGTTTTCTTTCACTTCTTTCTTGTGACTTATGTGTTTATTGCTGTTTTTCTTTTTCACTGCCTTTGTTATTATCGACTCTGTGGCTTTATGGACCTATTTTTTTGTGTGAAGGACTTTTATTTTTTTATTTCTAAGAAAATTGCTTTATCAAACAAATGTATTGTTATAATTATTATTCATACTTACTAGAGCTTTGCCAAAAAACAATAATACGGTTCATTCTGATACGAGAGGCTCAGAGAAAAAAACAAACAAATGCCGCTTGCTAGAGTTCCAGACAGAAGCATAAAAGTGGAGGTGTAAAACTATATGGAGATGGTCTGACACACTTAACCACAAATATCTCTTTATCCATATTTCATATAAAACACTGGCAACATGTAAAATATGAGACTTTATGTATCTAGTATATATTTGATGGAGCTATGTTGCAGGTTTTACTCTATTTTTCATTATTCTAAATTCAGTTTGAATGTGTACACTCTAAGTATTATACAATAACTTGTTACTGCTCTCAGTCTGAGAGCCATTTCCCTCCCTGCCATATGAAAATAATAAGTTAATTTTACAATAGGTTTGATATTATAGATACAACTTAGAAACTAATTACAGAGAACCCATGGAAACCAAACAAGGCAACCTCAGTTTGTCATCTTATTCTCAAACTTGACCTACTAAGGCAAAAATACATGATCATTTTCCATCCAAACAAAACCACTGTTTATTTGTTTTGAGGTATAATTAATGTGTCCTCATACAGGCAACTTTCTTTTTCAAGGTTGGCCGACTGACACGTCTCCTTCATCTGGGCACAGAGAGCAGAAGGAACTCTACGGTCTAAGCTGACACCACAGCGAATGACGCACCTATACATCAAATGAACAGCTCCGGTCAAGAGGTTGTCCACTACACAATAGCCTTCACTCTCAGCACGATCTCTAGTGAGCCGCTAGAGGCTTTGTGGGTGGTGGGTGCTGTGCTGAGGGGGGCTGGGGTGTGTTAGTGTGGGAGGCCCAGTAGAATTCCATTTCTCAAAGCGTTTTTTTTTCGCAGCATACCTCATGTGCCCTCTGGTGAGCTACAGCACCCCTGGGCTTCATGAAAATGATTGCAGATGCTTTTTTGCCAAAGCAGGGTATGTAATGTCCATCTGTCTGTTTGGAGAATGAGAACAGAGTCACGCTGTGCTGCGCTGCGGGAGCTGCAGGTTGGGAACAGCTCTTTAACTTGCTCAGTAGATACCGTTACAATTGAATGAGAGGAGCCATTTCCAGCGTAGGAGTTCTGGTCTTGAATACTAACTCAGAAATGCCAGTCAAGATCTAAAGAGGGTCTGCGTCTGGTCACTCATACGTCTGACTGTCTACTCCAGATTCCTCCAGTTCACATGAGTTGCGTCTTTATGCAGGCAACACCGTGCAGATTATTAAACTCCTTGTCTACAAGGAGCACTGCTACGATGCCTCTTAACTCTTCACCCTGTCTGGAAGTGAATGTTCGGACTGGTTTATCAAGCAGGGCGACAGCTGAGGTCTCCCTTAAATGCCACATGTCAGTGTTTTGTTTTGAGATGAATAATGTTTTGATAGATACCTTGATACTTGCTCCTTCAGAGGTTCCTGAGGGACCCTGCAATTACAAAGAACATTCATTTCACAGAGAGAATGAAAAGGAGTTCATGCCACAAAGACAATGGAATATAATAATATGAAGAGTGTATATGCTTGTGTGTTTATATAATCCTCATCACCCTCATTTAAACTGACATGGTAATTTTTCCTTTTTTATATTGAAGGCCTGTTGCACCAATGTTAGCTCCCATAAAAGAAGTGTCTGGCCCGCAGCAGGCTATAGATTATCTTTGAGTGTGTCTTTGTTGTGTACCTTTCACAGACTCCTGCGGTTGTTGTGCAATGCTAATTTGACTTTGAAAAATAGCTGCTGACCCCCTTCAACTGGGAGCTATGTCCTGCTACCAGTGGACAAGAGAGAGTGATGCCCTGGTGTGCATTTTGAATGGATGAGTCTGCCTCTCAGATCTACCTCAGCAAAACAGGTGACTCATAAATGCCAATACCAGGAGATGGAGGAAAAGCTGCCACATGCTAAGGGTATCATCAGGACACTGCCATTTAGAAATGTCACACCTTCTTCGATGCTGTCTTTCTTTTCACCCACAACTTTGTGTGCCACAACTTTATGAGTTATTAAGGAGGCAGGGAATGTGTGTCGAGACGTGTGGGAGGGTTTTAACAGTGAGTAATCCAATAATACTACAGATAATTAGAGCAACTGCACAAGTGACAGAATCCAAGCTAAACCTTCCTGGATTTCTGGATGAAATAAAATAAGACAAAACCTATGTCGTGATCAAGAGTGTCAACGGGGCAAGAGTGCATGAAAATAATTGGATGCCCAGAGCATCTGTACATGATACGGAAACGCTCCTGTTTGTGCTGACATCACAGCAGTTAAGAGACAAGCTGTCTCCTTTAATGCATCATGGTGTTTCTGCACTTTAGTGTGTGGATCACTACACAAACGGTGTCTGGAATCGGTTTGAACACCCAGGGAAACAAGCATAACTCAAGGAGTCAATAGGCCTTATAGGCAGACGTGTCCTGCTCATCAATACGTGCTACTGTAATACAGCCCTTATGGTTTTGTGCTAATAATGTAACCTGCTTGCAGCAGTAGAACATTTTAGACAGATCAATACAACCTAAGCAAGGAAGTATTGCACAAACTTGTATCATATTATTACTTTTATATAATGTCTGCACATGACATCATGGCACATTTTTCCATAATGCACATAACTCTATAACTTTGTGCTTGTATTAAATGGACTTCATACATTTGCTGAATTATAAAGATTAAAGTAAAACGTATGTACAGTTAAGTACATGTGTGCACTCTGTGAATCACTTACAGGCAGGCCTCTGGGTCCAGACTCCCCAGTCTTTCCTCTCCGTCCCTATTGAAAGTACAAATAAAAAAAGGGTGTGAGATGAGTGAGTGAAGACGCAACAACAGGTGTTGCTGGGCATGCACACTGCCAGCAATTAAGACTAGACAGCAACTCCTGTCGCACTCTCTAATTTGCTTTTAATTAACAACAAGAAAACAGCTTAATTGCTGCACCCCGTGTGGCCCACTACTCTTTGTTCCTTGCTCTGGTTTACTGCCTCCTCTCCAGCTGTGCGAGTCCCTCGGTGCATCAATCAACCCAAGGAGAACGTGCAGCAGCACACAGGCCGAGCTGGCCGCCGCTGTCCGGCATTGAAAAAGGAGGTCAGAGCGAAGCAACCATTTCGCTTTGAGTTTTTCCTTTTGACGTTTTTGTGAATTACAAAAAAAAATGCCTTAGTGCTTGAAAGTCTTGAGAAGCTGACATTGTAATGCTATCTGAGCCAAACCAAAGTTGGTATAATTTACATCAAGAGGGTTTAAGTTCTCGTGAGAGAGGGGGATAAAGCTCTGCGGATATCCTCGCAGCCATCCTATAAACTGGCAGGGCACCACTGGCTCTGCGTTATGAGAAGTGTCTGGAATTAGCTGGCTCTCACACACGCTGGACGGATGTTAAAATCAACTCAATTAGGAGATGGTAATACTCTGGCCAATATCAATTCACTGTACAGCAGCGTAATCAACAGCAGTGTGAGACAACGCAGATAGCATTAAGGCTAAATATGATTACCTCCTTCCAATGGGAGTTTCATCATCTGACACACTTGCAGAATGGAAACAGTGTCATTCTCTCCTACAGTACGTGTCAGTATGAAAAACACTTCCATCCTCTGCTGAGTTAGTGGCTTCATAGATTTGTGAAGATGGAAGAATCCCTGGCTGCTGAAGAAATCACAGAGCAGTGCCCTCTTCCCACCGACACTCCGTGTACGCAGATTTTGATTAACTGGGTCGAATTTGACATGTGCGGTACGTCTGCCTGCAACAAAGACAGAGGAACTGAGCTGAGGAGCTACTGCTTTTAATCATGTTTGCACGTGTGCTCAAGTTTCTGCGCCACGCTCGTTTCTCTGTTTGTAGTCCACAGATTACAGGATTATAAAAAGCGGAGAAAGAGGGGTATAGTACATATTAACCCTAATAATTGCACAATGAAACCAGTTTGTGCCTTCTCTTGGGAATTGTGTGCTTTCCTCTGTTCATGCTGTTTGATGTAGCAACACAGCCTTGGCCAGCATCTTTTGATCATCCGCGTTAATGTTGCTGTGATGCTACACGTGCTTCAGTGCGAGGATGAATGAGTGCCATGTCGAGGAGAGCTGGGAGACGGAGAAATTGAGCTGACGTGCAGGAGCAGCAATTTTAAACCTAAAAATATTTTTCCTTCAAATTACTGACATTATACTCCATTGCAATGGCCTCTTTGAAATCTAACAGAGGTTGATTGAAATGAGCATTCAGAGTGGCAGCCTAAGTATTCAATAAGCACTCATGCACCAGGGTGCCATATGTAGATTCAAAACACATTGCGTTTATGCAAAAGGTCCACTTCTCACAAACAAAGACGGCAATTCGCGGGGGTTGATGGTGTGATAGTTTTTCTTTTCACTGATAATGAATAGACTGAAAGCAAATCATTGCCATGTTTGCAAAAAGATCACAGTATTTGTTCTAGCCTTAGCCCCTGCTGCCGTCCTTTCTCCCCCTGAACTCCACAACAAAAGCAGATTACATAGATAAGTAATTTAGCTAATGAATATTTCATACGCCGTTATTCCAAACAGGCCATGAATTATGCAGTTTTTGAAATCATTTCTCCACATTTGCCATTATATCTCTTTTTATCTACAAAGTGCAGACTAATTTTAGGTCCATGTATTTGTTATCATCCAAATAAATAGTAATACTCTAAATTCTCATGATGATGTGGGGTTACAGTCCATATTATTAAACCTAGCAGAGCTAGAAAAAAGTTTAAATGGTTCATAAAACTATTTAATTTGTGATTGTGCTTTGACTTTAATTCCACTTTGAAAAGTGACACTGCATTTGTACTGACTTTCCAATTTATAAGGTACACCTACAGAAAACAGATGATTAATTCTACTTTTATATTAGGGCTTCTAAGGTGTTAATTCACTATAGCTTGTGGTGCATTGAATTGCATTATACCAAGAGGTGGTTCTAATATTTGGTTCACATCTTCAGCAGCTCCATCATTCACATACAAAAAGCAATACATTAAAACGACCACAGTTTGTGACCTTGGGGTTAGACTGATACTTTTCTGTCCAGTGGCCCTCTGGTTAGCGTGCCATCAACAAATCTGCCAAGATGACAAGAAATAATTAGTCCGCAGCACAGCCTGTCATCACCGTTTGCACTAAGTTGACTCTCCAAGCTGAAACACCTGTCAGTGACACAGCGAGATAAGTCGCTCTGAAGGGACGCGGCGGCTCTGGACTACCGAGATAATCAAGATGCCAGCAAACGAGCAGCGGAGTACTAAAGCAACAGATGCTCAGCTGCTGAAGTTTAACATTTAGCTCTACTTTGAGAAGTTTGAAGTATGAACTCAAGGTTTTAAGTTGAATTCAGTGTTAATGCCATTTCAGTGATTTCATCACTTCTAAATGTCATGTCTGGACCTCCTACATTTTTATAAAAGAACTGAAGGGATACTCTGACATTTTCAACTGAGGTAATTCCATAATTATGTTCCTTAATTATGTTCCTTCATGTTAGAGTTTTTTGTTTGGTTGCATTAAAGACGCACAGCAGTTTTTCCTGATGAAGGAAGATGACGTATGTGTAAAAAACAAAAAAAACAAAACAAGCTCAAAGCAACAACAAAATCAACCTGACAATTTCAACTTCAGGAAGTGAGAACTTGTTTTGCTTGATGAATTTAGCGAGAGTGTGAAAGAGAGTAGCCTGTAGTTGGACTTGGGCCATTTGTTAAATGGCTATTTTGCTTTGAAATATTCAAGCCACTCTCGAACTTAACACCACCTGTGTATGCCAAAATGCCAGAGTAAAATATGAGCAGACAGCAGTGCCAGTAAATCTTTTCCTTCAGCTAAGCCAACCTTAACTTCCTCATTTCCCTTTCTGCCCCTCCGCCTCTCGTTCATCTCTCCCCTTTGTGTACAATATCATAATTCTATTACTCTCATCCCTCTCTCCTTCCTTCTCCTGTTTTTCTTGTCATCTCTTCTTCCTTCTCCTGTCTCCTGTCACTCGCCCCATTTCTCCCTCACCCAACTTTCAACGCTTGTTGGATAAACCCTGGCAATCTCTTGTTGCTATGCAACGCTCGGTGTCCTATAAATTTGACAACATCCTTGATTATTATTTGAGCGCTGCAGTGTGAAGCCCTCCTTCAGGTCATTGCAGCAGATTAGAGGGAGGGAGCAATAGAGGAAGGTAAAGGAAGGGAATGAGGGATGGGAGGAAGGGAAGGAGGCAGATGAATGGATTGAGCAGGGGAGGAAAGGAAAGAAAGTGGGAGTGAAAGATGAATTAACCTCTTGAGTAAATGAAAAGATGGGCTGGTGTGACACAACACTCACACATATACTATTTTTCTGCCCCCCCTTTAAAAACCTGCAAACCATATAACAGAAGTGTGAAACTCCACATTAACTGCTAATTCAATAATCGTGATAGTAAAGCTCGAGTGGGAAGACTTTTGAGCTGGGGAAAGGAAGAGGCCTCAGTAGACTGACAGCACATTCTCAGCTCCCAACTTAATCCACACGGATACCGGCCTCAATTGGCCTCAACTCCACCATGAGTTGTAAAGAGTAAAAGGAAAGCACAGACATGAGGCCCCGGCTCAGTCCTGCAGCACAAGCCCCAATCTGAGAGCAGAGTCAACAGCGACAGTGACACACAGCAGAAGTCCTCGTACATGATGACTCTATAATCCTTATCCCTAATGTCAACATGTTCTCTGAGACATTCTATGTCTGACTGTATACCCGAACTGGGATAACACGATGGTGCAAAAAGGAGGAGGGGGTTTTGTATTTTTAGCGGTAAAGCAGATATACCTTCAAAAAGCCACGTAATCCTGACAGGTGCCTCTGTCAGGAGGGGTCAGTAGATAATATGGAGGAGCCCTTTGAAATGAACATCACAGCAACCAACTCAACCCTGATACAAAATACACTGAGGAATAAATGATGGGGAACATGTTTCCTTTTTATATGCAGGCAGAGCAACCAGGAAGTAAATCAATTTTAACTAATTCAAACATGTTCAATTTTATACTTCAATTGTAATATCTCATCTTTGATTTTTGTGAGTTTGCCTCTGAAAAGATAAAGGCCACTGGAGCTCTGAAAAGTGATTATCTTTTCTATCTCTTTTTTCTAGATAAATTCATCCTCAGTTTACGGTGACATCAAGATTTTAACTTTTACTTTTGCAGGAGCCCCTTTGTGACCATTTTGAGGTTTTTATGGTGTTCCTAAAGTGCAAATCATGACAGCAAATCACACAACATAAGGACAAAATACAAGAACACACGTCAAATAAGAAAACACAACGGCACATCACAAAACACATGTTAAATAAGAAGTTACAACGTTAAACCGGTAAGCACAACATTAAATATGAAATGCAACGGCAAATACAAACATCCAAGGGCAAGTGCGAAATGTATCTAATCTAATGAGAACATACATTAAATAACAAAACACAACCTCAAATATGAAAACAAGTCAAATAAGAATACCCAACAAAAAACACAAAAACTTAATGGCAAAAAACTAAAAGCAGTTTGTCTGCATCTCTATTCCTGACGTCAGGATCTTATCATGATGTATGGTTGTATCGTTGTGATTTGTGATTTGTTGGTGTGTGATTATTTTTGCTGTTGTGTTTTGCACTTCAGGGCCACTGTTGGTTTTGGCCTTGACCTGCTTCTCCCATTTAGTCACACACTTAACACAGACTTTTACATGCTTTCATATAAACATACACACACCACTGTATTGT